CTTGACGAATATTATTCAATATTCCAGTTAACTTCCGCTAAAAATGTAAAAACTACGTATTTTATTTTTTTAGGAGTCGTAAATGTCATTAACAACGATACCATTCATACTACTCATATAACCAAGAGTTTAGTGTTTGATTTAGTTTAACCGACAAATTTTAAAATATAACGTACTTCTCTTGCGACTACGTACGTTTACTTTAAACGTAACTAAAAATACAGTCCTATCACACTTCTAGGTTTACGCCAATTAATTTTGTCTGGTTTATATTTGTGGTACTTCATATAGAGATATCTTATTTTTCTTTTTGTAAAGGCTTATCTACATCTAACTATCTTTACTTAGGTCTCTGAAACCAACACGAAACTTTCCTGCATAGTTAAACTCAAGTATTTTAAAATACCAATGTGGGGTTGTGTCTTTAAGGACTCTTGAGTCCAGGTGGAACTATGGCCTAGTGATTGAACCACTGAGCTCCCAACCAGTAAGTGGTAGGTTCGAGCCCAAACCCACTTAATTCATTTTAGGTAGTTGAATAGCAACAGCGCACACAAACAGTATAGCACATATTCGAGTACGCAAGCGTGCACTTGGAAGATTGGCCACAACGGACCAGCTTATTTTTCAGTAATCCGAGTGCCTTAATCTAACAGATATTATGATGAAGTTTTATCATCTTGACAGTAAGTAAAATCAATAGCATTTCATTCATATAAAGTTACGACGCTAAGTAAAGTTAGTCATTTAGCATCATCCTGTAGCAAACATATATGGTTTCACAACTCATCCATACTACGTAGATATTTTATTTCGTAAACCCAACAAAAGATTAAGACGGAAATTAATGAATTTGCCACTGTAAAAATACTGATAGTTCCGTTTTATACATTTTGTGTGGACTCAATATACTCTTCATGCCGTTAATTGCCTTACGTTGAAAAAATCTGGTTCATTATCACATGTAATCGAAATCAAAATATATGAACTGCTACCCCATCATCTATTCAACTCTCACGGTTAATTATAAAGTTTGGAAAGGTACTGGGTTCGAGTCTTGGAGTGAACATCAACTCGGATGCAGGTAGATTCAGCTGACGAGTTCTAAATGAGACGAGACACGTGTCCTCAACTCCAATACTAGCCAATATCCATCTCTGCTTACAATGCTTATGGCGATATCGAGGCAATCCGCACAGGATGCACATGTAACAATAAGAGACTTATTAATTGTAGTTCTGAACATCAGTGGAAACATCCGAACAACCAATACACAAATGAACTGCTACTTTTAATATACCTACATTGGTATATACCTTAAAATGACCAACAATCTGACTCTTAGTTTTCTCTGTTAAACTTACTTTAAAAGTATCGAGAACGTATTCGTCTTGATCCTGTGATAAAAAAAGAAATAGAAGTCTTGAAAATGCTTTCAACAGTTGAAAAATAGCCTACTGATAAATGCGACAATGTCATTGCCGAACTTTGTTAAAAAGGTTGGAGATAATCGTTTGACAGATTTTCTAACTACTAAAAATACATTAATTAGTTTTCACCAAATTAAATAACATAATGCAAGATTTGTTTCTGTTATGGAGAGTGATATGTAAATCCGATAGGCCTTCATTTAATAGGTTAATAATTGACCTACGAAATCCGAGTTTCATAATCAATTATGCTCTTAATAAATTTCGATGATGTTTGCTTTGCAGAAAAGATTACTCAAGTGTGTAACTTTGTCACGTAACACGGCTAGTGCTTTGATGACTGTTATTGTCTTACGAAGCTTGGCCGTTGAGATATTCCATCTGTAATGATGGTTTTGTGAAGGACCATTTCTAGGCCGTATTAATGTTATGAAGTTGAGGGATCAGACAGTGCAACTCAAGTAAATTATCTCTCATTATAACAGTTTAGGAAAAATGAGTGACCACATTTCGCATAATGTTAAATCCATTAAAATTCCGAAATTTTCGCAAATTCTAATTTATTTCTGCATGCACTTCTTAACTATGTATTGTTTTTAGACTGTCCAAAAAACTGCATGGGTTTTTGGTCTTTGAACCGCTTAGTAGTTGCGACACAAGAGTTAAACAATTTATGTTTAGAACCTGCGTGAAAGAAAACAAAAATTAATTACAACACAAAAGTATTTGAATATAACATATAAAACCTCACTTTTTATCTAAACAGATACCAAGTTTACTTTAGGTTGGTTGTCAGCTCTTTACCCTAGTAAGTTTACCGAAAGTTTCAATGTAATGAAAATCCATGTGTTTCATGGACATATATTCGATAGGGACTTCTCTAATTAATGGAAACCATCGGGATCTCGTTCGTTAAACTGTCTAGTTTATCACTGTTCTAAGTTCATTTCAGCACTTGTACGTGGTCAAAAGCTATATTTGTAGTTTTACATCTATGTGTTAATTTGTTGTCTTATGTACAAATAAATTTAAATCTACTTTCCACACTATCACAATAAATAATCCAGTAAGTGCAAAAAAATATCTATTAGTACTTTCATATCTGCTGTTGTCATTCAGCTGGCTAATGTCGTCAAACCCTTTCTATTGTTTAAGAGCATAGGAGGCAGGTTGAACCAAGACTGTGTATCGCTCAGTTCTCTTTGTTAATTTACTTTATGATCACTACATCCTCACTTCTCCAAATATATGGAATCGTTCAGATTTTACTAACTCTACATAGGAACATCTCAATACAAAGTATCAATGGGGAGATTATAGTATTATATCATACATTACTCCACCCAGGGGATTAGATGAAAAATTCGAGTTACATTTAATCTATGATTACTTCAATTAGCCTTTAGATGACAGGCGGAAACAATGACGTTTTGAAGAGTTAGGAATGATGATTCATTATCGAGTAATAGAGTGATTGGTGTACTTTTCTTATTGTTGGGACCCACATACATCAATCTACCGGGTCCTTAGTAGGTCAATAATGGCGTCTTAGATTCGATTACCAGCCACTAACTTTAATATGCTGTCACAAAAATTACCTAATTAGGGATGTGTGTTCCATTTCGGTTAAATATTGACACAAACTGTATTAACTCTACTTTAGGTGGACTGTGCACATTGTATGCAGGTTAACTCACTACTCGTCTGCAGGTATCTTTTGAGATTTAAAATACCATAGGTGGGAATGCTCGCTCTGAGTTTGTTTAAAACGTCAAGTATTTAATCTGTCGCGCCACGAATGTTGAGGGTCAGATGACTTAACATCTATCTTTTTAAAGACAATGGTGACCTGGTTAGGAACTATCTGAGTTGTTTACAATTTTCAGTAATTACAAAGTGTTTTAACATCGTTGATAATGACAGTCATCCCTGTCTTTAAAGAAGATTTACGTGACCTAGGCAACATATATTGGTGGATAAATCTACTTCTGATCGCGTCCAAACTAATGACTTCCGTCATACTCTGCAGATTGTTCGAAATCCTGATGATATTGCCTTACTGTGTGCTGATACCCAAGCTATTCAGTCCACACTTCGTCAGTTGCTACGTAGTTACGGCATTTGATTTGCACCTTCCAAGTGCAAGTACTCTAGCAAAACTAACAGGACTTTATACCTACATTCACTCTTGGTAGTGAGCAGTTAGATAGTTTGAGAAGTCCGTGTCTGGTGGTTGTGTAAGTGGCTGGTGGTGCATGAGTAATGAGACCAATTCATCTATAGTGAAAGCTAGAGTGGTTTATGCCAATCTAGGTCATATTTGGCGCCTTTGTTATGCTAGCCTGGCCGTAAAATTTCGGATTTACATCGCGTTGGTGGAGAGCAGGTTCGCTTTATGCTTGTGAAACCTAGCCTGTTCGAGTTGAAGATTTTAAGCGATTCTTTGTGTTTGATCATCGCTATCTCCGAAGGATTGCCGATATCCAGCGACAACAGCATATTAATTGGTATTACCATTTAGAAACAGACTGGTGGCTTGGACACGTACTACGAATGTCGTTTTAGCGAAATTCACATCGCGAATTATTTGTCGACACTAGGACTGGTTGAAAAAAGCGGAGAAGTGGTCAGTGTTTTTATTTATTTAAACACATAAACATAGGTATAAGGAGGGATCAAATAGATATGCGCCACACAAATAATTCTTAGGGGGCCACGCCCGGAGCCTCCGACCTAAAAGTATGATCCAAAAGGCAGTGGAGCCACGTCAGGAGATGCAGTCCCATGGTTGCCGGTGACCAACAGTTGGTTCATACGCCATTTGTTTCCTCAGGATCCTGGAGCCCATGTGCACCATTGGTTTGGAATCAGGATTTTCCAACTCACACAGGTGGATCCTCCGTATCCACCAACCTAGTTAAAGCGCCGGACATTCTCTTTTCATCCTCTCAATTTCGTAACCAATACCCTCGCCACGAGAAGGCAGTGAGTAGGACTACCCTGGCAGCGGTTGTATGTATGTGGTCATGTAAAAACATTTAAAGAGGGAGAGCTGACTCTCCCCACTCTCGGCCGTACCAAGGGCCTCTCAGTGTATGTTATGGTGTCGTCCTGGTACAAAAGAAAGCTGTGCAGGGCTGGTATCTGTTTGTTCTTCGCGACTCCCTGGTTAGGGTCCTGGCGATAATGCCACACAGTGAAGGTCCTTCGGTTTTTTACTCTTTCCACCTAACTGAGAGGAAGCTAACTACTGTAGGAATCCTTTCTGATCGTATTTCTCTTAACTGAACTGCTTCTCCCATTATTATTATTATTATTATTATTATTATTATTATTAATTCTCATTCATTTTTTAGACATCATACCCCTCCTTTCTCTGTTTTATTACAATCTCATCTTATTACGTATCGCATATACATTTTGGTGCCCCTTCGTACCAATATTTCTGTTCAAATAAATAAGTAAACTTTGTACTCTTATGTATGAAGATGTTTTGCCCTTTTTATGGTATATGAGCCATTTTAAAAATCAGTTAACGGTTATGCGGTGATACTACGACTCCTTATTTCAGATGTTTGAAGAAGTTGAGGAGCGGTGTGATGCCTATTTACAAACCTGGTGGGAACAAGAAGCTGCTGGAGTGTTAAGTAGTCTATCGGGTTCAAATGGGCCTCTGGATACAGAACTCACCTCCTTACCTGATTTAGAAAGTTATGGTCACTCCGAATCGGGGAGTGGAATACAAACTATGCAGTTAACACGGGATGAACTGCTTTACGCAAACCAAGTGGGTTTGTTGAGACTACTTTTATTCAATGTTTTTGCTTCGTTACTCGATTTCTATGTGTTTCTACATCTGACAGTTTTAAGAAAACTACATAGGTATTGTTAGACGATCCTTGGAATTTTGGTTCTAATTTTATTAATATTGAGCTTCTGAAGTGTATATGTAAAGCTTCTTATGAAATTAATTAGTTCAATACGAGCTCATTATAAACCAAGTTCTTGATAGCACAACTAGATCTACTCTTTTTATATTGAAGCAAGGCTAACAAATTCTTTCAGACTAGGATTCACTGATTTTTGAAGCAAAACACGTATAAAAGATATACTAATCAATAATGGCAAGGTAAATGTGTTCATTATAACCACTTTAGCAACTGACTTGAGTTTTGTCGCACCGATATCCTTAAAGTAATATGACGATAATTATCATTGTTTGTTTCTTGTAATTACTCGGATATGTAGTTATTCTCTAACACTATAGCTAGATACAATATCCGGATGTTATCTACTTTTTATAAAGAATTATCTCATAACCCATTGTTAATTAATATGGCTATTTTTGTTCATGGGATACCTTAAAAACAAATGTCAGTCAGTAACAACGTAGAACTTCGTACGTACGTACATCAGTTCGAGTTGCCACACCACATTAGCACAGAGATGCAGTTGTCGATTCAAATCCCGTAGTGGTAGAGGTAATAAGAGTATAAGCAGTAATCGGGAAGATTAGGGTTTGGAGATGTTATTTAAAGAGTATAATCCAGTGAAATAAATTTGGAAAGAGGAAAAAAGGGACATGAAGGATTCAGAAGATTAGAATTTGGGAGAACACAGAGAGTGGATGCACCTGCGCCATTGCAAACGATTTTGAGCCATGTCATTCAGGGTCTCTAACCATCGGTTGCTATCATCTCGCGGTCCCCAACCAGGTAGTCTACACCTACCAACATGACTCAGTCCACTTGTCAGTGACTTCATGGACTTGTGCCATGTTTTGGTTTGGCCGCCCCTAGCTTTCTTCCAACCTACTCCTATACCACTGAACATAGCACGTCGAGGCAGTCGGTCGTTGGGCATACGTAACACGTGTCCCAGCCATCTCAACTGATGAAGTTTCACTACTTCATCAATTGATTTGCCATCCTTACCTAGTACCCGTTTCCTAACAACTGTTACTTACTCGATGGTCCCATGATATACGAGCAATGTTTCGAAGACACCTATGATCAAATACTAGTAACCTACGATATCCTCTACTCTTACCGGCCATGTTTCACTGCCATAAAGTAGGACGGAACGAACTGCTGCGCAGTAAACACGTCCTTTGGTTGATAGACGGATATCTCGCCTACGCCATAAATGACGCAAGTTGGCAAAAGCTAGTCGAGCCTTCTGTATCCGTCACACACCAAACCACAAGGGCTGATGAGACTTCCAAGATAAGTGAAGCGGTCGACACACTCAACTACTTCACTCCCTATCACTAGTTCGGGTGTCGATGTAACCCAATCCTGAAGCAACATTTTGCATTTCGAGGGAGAGAATCGCATCCCGAACATGCTTGCATTGTTGCTTAGAGTGGTCAGAAGACTCTGCATTTTGTCAGCGTCTTCACCAAATAAAACTATGTCATCAGCATATTCTAAGTCAACAAGTGAACCTCCCGGTAGAAGTTCAACCCCTGGAAATTTAGATGAGGAGAGTGTTATCTCTAAAAGTACGTCGACCACAAAGTTGAACAAGAATGGGGAGAGTGGACAGCCCTGACGAACACCACTTGAGGTAATCAATTCTGATGACAGTTCGCCATAAGCTCTCACTCTACCAGTTGTGTTCGAGTAGAGAGCCTTTATAAGGTTAATGTACTTCTTTGGTACTCCTTTCAGTGACAAACACTGCCATAGAACCTCACGATCAACAGAGTCGAATGCCGCCTTAAGGTCGAGAAATACTACCATTGTGGGGCGTCTGAATGTGTGTCTGTGTTCTAGAACCTGACGTAGTGTGAATATCTGATCTATACAACCACGTCCAGGTCGAAAACCGCCTGGTTTTCTCTAATCTGCTCTTCACGAGCTTTGATTAGGCGTCGAAGTATTATTGAAGCTAATATTTTAGACACTATATTAGTCAAACTGATTCCTCTGTGATTGTCACAAGAGGACTTTTGTCCTTTCTTATAGACTGGCACAATCAGTGATTGAGACCAGTCAGATGGGATTACGTCCAGTTCCCAAATTCTACCTAAGACCTCAGTTAATCTCATTGCTAATACTGGACCACCATCCTTAAAAATCTCAGGAGTAAACCTGTCAGGGCCTGCTGCTCTCCCTCGTTTCAGATTTCCTATGGCTTTTTCAACTTCGTAAAGGGACGGAGGACCTACATTAACTTGCCATTCAGGTTGACTAGAGATCGTGGGAAACCGAAGTGTGGCTGAAGGCCAGTTGAACTGATCCCTAAAGTGTTCTGCCCATCGATCCAATCTCCTGGATTGAGAATGAATAATATGTCCATCTTTCTCTGAGATTGTTTCGCTAACAGTCGGTTTCCTTAACGAGTCTGAACAATTGTCTGCTATTACCTATTGCCGCTGCCTTTTCCATCTCTCTTGCTTTCGCTACCCACCACTGTTCGCGATCATTGCGTAGACTTCTTGTCAGCTTGCGCTTAAGCTGACTCCGCTCTTCATTATGTTCAGAGCCAGGTGGAATGAGTTTCCGAGCATCTATCAGTGCGATAGATGCTGCTGAGATCCAGTGTTGCTCCCTAACCTTCTGGTTTACCTTACTAGCAGATATCACTGCTGTTTCCACAGCTTTTCGGATATCATTCCATGCTGCATCGGGGTGGGCATCACATACATGGCTGCCTAACTGTTTTCCTAGTTGTTCCTGAAATATACTCTTAGCTTGACTATCATTAAGTAGGCCCTAAGAGGTTTCCTTGCAGCGTCTTTCCTACGTCCAGTAAGACGCAAGCAAATACGCGCTCGCACTAGAGCATGATCTGAATCTAGGCATGTGCTCCAGAATGAGCGACAGTCTTCTATCGAGCCCCTCCATCGGTGGCTGATAGCGATGTGATCTATTTGGGTCCAACGTTGGGACGAATTAGGGGGTCGCCATGTTAAAAGATGTTTTTCCTTATGCTTAAAGTTAGTATTTGCAAGGAACAGGCGGTTATCTGAGCATAGCTGCAACAGACGGTCGCCATTATCTGTTCTTTGAGCCACGACACCATAAGATCCACCTAGGTGTCTTTCCCTTTCGCTTAGTTTACCTACTTGAGCATTAAAGTCACCGGCCACTATTACTACATCCGAGCGCCTAGCTTTTCGGAGAAGGTCCGAAAGCTTTCTGTAAAACTCATCTTTTACATCATCTGAGCTGCAGTCAGTGGGAGAATAGGCAGAGACGACGAAGAGGCAACGACGAGTGTCCCTATCTTTCCGGATTCTTACTGTTCCGTTCAGTCGGACAGCGCACAAACGACTGTCTACTGGGATCCACTCTAAGAGAGCTAGTTCTGCCCTAGGACTCAATGCTATACCTACGCCGGCGAGGCCACGGGAAGCAGAATCAGGGCTTCCAGATACACGAAGCGTAAATCGAGTCGGTTCTTTATTTTGGCATGGTGAGGTCAAATGAATGACGCTACTTGGATCCTGTATGCGCGTTTCGGAGACGCAGCACACATCGATGGCGCGAGATTCTAAAGTTTTAGCTAAGGAAGCCTGCTGTCCTATTTGGCAAAGTGTTCGTACGTTAAAAGCTCCTACGTGTAGTTTAGAGCGTGGTTTCAGGAGACCAGGAATGGCGTTCCACGTACTCAAATCGTTTGCCCTAGCGGTGCGAGGTGATAAAGAGACGTGAGGAGGGTTAGTCATGGAGATAAGAGAGGTATTAGGAGGTGTATGAGGGCTGATGTCACTTCCCGGCTGCCCACACCGTGGAAGGGTATTTCTTGAGGAACCTGAAAAGGAAATTGGATTAGTGTTGGTCTTGACGACCTGGGAGCGTGACCGCAGAGCCCAGGGTACAACTGCTTGTGGCCGGTCGCGCACGGCCTTTTTGTGGAAGGTTTTTGACGTGTTAGCTCCGTTCTTCAAAGGGCTTTACCGCCGGAGACGGAAATCCGTGAGGTAAGGTTGAGGTGTGACATTTTTAGGGTCGACCTTTTCTAACCCCACCCCTCCTTGTGAGAAGGCAGCATCGCTGTCATGCTAGTTGTCCGAAGGAAACACCTTACTGCTGTCACACCCCTCTACAGTCAGCAGTACGACTTCGTCCTCAGACCTTGAGTTGCTGCTTTTAGTCTTACCGTTCACCAATCGACCTGCCTGGCATGGTAGAACCTACAGGAACATATGTTCCAGCCAATATAGCTCGGTTGGGTTATCACGATAGGCAAGTTTGATCACCGCGTCAAGGTAGCAGCTTCGATCGGGAAAACAAATGAGGACTGGGATTTGTCCGGATTGTATCTAGTAAGGATGTATTCCGTAGTGTATCACTTTATTCACATCTTTTATAACCATTTATTAGGACAGAGTACAGGCGACTGTTAAGATTCATTGAAATTATGTGTATTCGACTATTGAACTCCTTGCTATTCCTACAGCTGAAAGTTATTATACCTCGAAACATTAGTATCATTAAGTGCACCAGTTCACCTTATCGATTAACCGTAACCAAGTAAATAATCACAGGTCTTATATGACTATCTTACGGATGCAGCATGATCAAAGATACTAGCATTTTAGTTTGTGAGTCTTCTTGTACGAATCGATTCATCGTTCGAACGTCAGCAACGTAGTTTCAGAGATAAGGAATGCTATCCCAAAGGCTAAACTCGTTGGTAATTGTCGCAAAGTAAGGATTATTCGAAGAGACTGCAAGCGATATTGGTGATAGATTAACAATATAAATAAGAGATATACTAGTACTCAGGAGGGAGTGTTTATTTTAGGACCATGTGAGTAAGTGGTACTCTCAATTTATCCACATTTAAATAATACTCAATGTTCCTATGAAATTTTGTCAGTTTATTTTTGTGTTATCCATTTATTTTCTCCTATTTTTACGTGGAATCTTTGGGTAATGATGAATATATTGTTATTTTTTTCCATTAACTTACAGTTGGATTACTACCTTACCATGCGTCTCACATCTACCGATTTCACACCTATCCAAAATGGAGTTCCTCGTGACTTACTAACATATATGTCACGAACTCAAGATTCAGTTTCTCGCGAAAAACAGTTAAAAACGCAGCTGAAAAATCCTCATTCTGATATCACGGAAATATGGAACATTATGAAGACAATTTCTCATCATATGCGTAATGAGCACAGTAGTATGTTATCATATGACCATCCATTGGAAGTTCGAGCGTCTATATCTATACAAAATACTTTATCACTATGTTCTTTAGAACATTTGGAGTCTGAGTTTCTAGAGTTTCTAAAAATAACGATTGCTAACCAGCCTCGATTAGCTCGACTTGGTGGACGTCCAGGGACCCGATCATTAGTGCGTGCATATCTGAGTCTTCGTCTACCATCCGACAACGTAGCAGATGTTCCTTCTTTGAGTAACCTCTATCAATTATCCGAACAAAACGGTTGGGAATTTGATGTATGTCAGTATTTCAATGCACTTTGTAGTTTATGTGTTTAATTGTCTAATTGTTTGTTATTCATGACACCTTGAAGTTATATGTCATCTGACTCGATAAAAAAATTTAGTTTCACTGTTGATTTAATTTAATAAGCTGGTTTTTGGAATTGACTTGACTATTTTCGACTCAAAAGTCAAACTTCTAAGTCATTTGACTCAGGACTCTCTCAAACATGAACCATTGAGAAGCTGGTCAGTTAGTCAGTCAGTAACAAGGTAGAACTTCGTACGTACGTACACCAGTTCGAGTTGTCATACCACATTAGCACAGAGATGCAGTTGTCGATTCAAATCCCGTAGTGGTAGAGGTAGTAAGAGTATAAGCAGTAATCGGGAAGATTAGGGTTTGGAGATGTTATTTAAAGAGTATAATCCAGTGAAATAAATTTGGAAAGAAAAAAAGGGACATGAAGGATTCAGAAGATTAGAATTTGGGAGAACACAGAGAGTGGATGCACCTGCGCCATTGCAAACGATTTTGAGCCATGTCATTCAGGGTCTCTAACCATCGGTTGCTATCATCTCGCGGTCCCCAACCAGGTAGTCTACACCTACCAACATGACTCAGTCCACTTGTCAGTGACTTCATGGACTTGTGCCATGTTTTGGTTTGGCCGCCCCTAGCTTTCTTCCAACCTACTCCTATACCACTGAACATAGCACGTCGAGGCAGTCGGTCGTTGGGCATACGTAACACGTGTCCCAGCCATCTCAACTGATGAAGTTTCACTACTTCATCAATTGATTTGCCATCCTTACCTAGTACCCGTTTCCTAACAACTGTTACTTACTCGATGGTCCCATGATATACGAGCAATGTTTCGAAGACACCTATGATCAAATACTAGTAACCTACGGATATCCTCTACTCTTACCGGCCATGTTTCACTGCCATAAAGTAGGACGGAACGAACTGCTGCGCAGTAAACACGTCCTTTGGTTGATAGACGGATATCTCGCCTACGCCATAAATGACGCAAGTTGGCAAAAGCTAGTCGAGCCTTCTGTATCCGTCACACACCAGACCACAAGGGCTGATGAGACTTCCAAGATAAGTGAAGCGGTCGACACACTCAACTACTTCACTCCCTATCACTAGTTCGGGTGTCGATGTAACCCAATCCTGAAGCAACATTTTGCATTTCGAGGGAGAGAATCGCATCCCGAACATGCTTGCATTGTTGCTTAGAGTGGTCAGAAGACTCTGCATTTTGTCAGCGTCTTCACCAAATAAAACTATGTCATCAGCATATTCTAAGTCAACAAGTGAACCTCCCGGTAGAAGTTCAACCCCTGGAAATTTAGATGAGGAGAGTGTTATCTCTAAAAGTACGTCGACCACAAAGTTGAACAAGAATGGGGAGAGTGGACAGCCCTGACGAACACCACTTGAGGTAATCAATTCTGATGACAGTTCGCCATAAGCTCTCACTCTACCAGTTGTGTTCGAGTAGAGAGCCTTTATAAGGTTAATGTACTTCTTTGGTACTCCTTTCAGTGACAAACACTGCCATAGAACCTCACGATCAACAGAGTCGAATGCCGCCTTAAGGTCGAGAAATACTACCATTGTGGGGCGTCTGAATGTGTGTCTGTGTTCTAGAACCTGACGTAGTGTGAATATCTGATCTATACAACCACGTCCAGGTCGAAAACCAGCCTGGTTTTCTCTAATCTGCTCTTCACGAGCTTTGATTAGGCGTCGAAGTATTATTGAAGCTAATATTTTAGACACTATATTAGTCAAACTGATTCCTCTGTGATTGTCACAAGAGGACTTTTGTCCTTTCTTATAGACTGGCACAATCAGTGATTGAGACCAGTCAGATGGGATTACGTCCAGTTCCCAAATTCTACCTAAGACCTCGGTTAATCTCATTGCTAATACTGGACCACCATCCTTAAAAATCTCAGGAGTAAACCTGTCAGGGCCTGCTGCTCTCCCTCGTTTCAGATTTCCTATGGCTTTTTCAACTTCGTAAAGGGACGGAGGACCTACATTAACTTGCCATTCAGGTTGACTAGAGATCGTGGGAAACCGAAGTGTGGCTGAAGGCCAGTTGAACTGATCCCTAAAGTGTTCTGCCCATCGATCCAATCTCCTGGATTGAGAATGAATAATATGTCCATCTTTCTCTGAGATTGTTTCGCTAACAGTCGGTTTCCTTAACGAGTCTGAACAATTGTCTGCTATTACCTATTGCCGCTGCCTTTTCCATCTCTCTTGCTTTCGCTACCCACCACTGTTCGCGATCATTGCGTAGACTTCTTGTCAGCTTGCGCTTAAGCTGACTCCGCTCTTCATTATGTTCAGAGCCAGGTGGAATGAGTTTCCGAGCATCTATCAGTGCGATAGATGCTGCTGAGATCCAGTGTTGCTCCCTAACCTTCTGGTTTACCTTACTAGCAGATATCACTGCTGTTTCCACAGCTTTTCGGATATCATTCCATGCTGCATCGGGGTGGGCATCACATACATGGCTGCCTAACTGTTTTCCTAGTTGTTCCTGAAATATACTCTTAGCTTGACTATCATTAAGTAGGCCCTAAGAGGTTTCCTTGCAGCGTCTTTCCTACGTCCAGTAAGACGCAAGCAAATACGCGCTCGCACTAGAGCATGATCTGAATCTAGGCATGTGCTCCAGAATGAGCGACAGTCTTCTATCGAGCCCCTCCATCGGTGGCTGATAGCGATGTGATCTATTTGGGTCCAACGTTGGGACGAATTAGGGGGTCGCCATGTTAAAAGATGTTTTTCCTTATGCTTAAAGTTAGTATTTGCAAGGAACAGGCGGTTATCTGAGCATAGCTGCAACAGACGGTCGCCATTATCTGTTCTTTGAGCCACGACACCATAAGATCCACCTAGGTGTCTTTCCCTATCGCTTAGTTTACCTACTTGAGCATTAAAGTCACCGGCCACTATTACTACATCCGAGCGCCTAGCTTTTCGGAGAAGGTCCGAAAGCTTTCTGTAAAACTCATCTTTTACATCATCTGAGCTGCAGTCAGTGGGAGAATAGGCAGAGACGACGAAGAGGCAACGACGAGTGTCCCTATCTTTCCGGATTCTTACTGTTCCGTTCAGTCGGACAGCGCACAAACGACTGTCTACTGGGATCCACTCTAAGAGAGCTAGTTCTGCCCTAGGACTCAATGCTATACCTACGCCGGCGAGGCCACGGGAAGCAGAATCAGGGCTTCCAGATACACGAAGCGTAAATCGAGTCGGTTCTTTATTTTGGCATGGTGAGGTCAAATGAATGACGCTACTTGGATCCTGTATGCGCGTTTCGGAGACGCAGCACACATCGATGGCGCGAGATTCTAAAGTTTTAGCTAAGGAAGCCTGCTGTCCTATTTGGCAAAGTGTTCGTACGTTAAAAGCTCCTACGTGTAGTTTAGAGCGTGGTTTCAGGAGACCAGGAATGGCGTTCCACGTACTCAAATCGTTTGCCCTAGCGGTGCGAGGTGATAAAGAGACGTGAGGAGGGTTAGTCATGGAGATAAGAGAGGTATTAGGAGGTGTATGAGGGCTGATGTCACTTCCCGGCTGCCCACACCGTGGAAGGGTATTTCTTGAGGAACCTGAAAAGGAAATTGGATTAGTGTTGGTCTTGACGACCTGGGAGCGTGACCGCAGAGCCCAGGGTACAACTGCTTGTGGCCGGTCGCGCACGGCCTTTTTGTGGAAGGTTTTTGACGTGTTAGCTCCGTTCTTCAAAGGGCTTTACCGCCGGAGACGGAAATCCGTGAGGTAAGGTTGAGGTGTGACATTTTTAGGGTCGACCTTTTCTAACCCCACCCCTCCTTGTGAGAAGGCAGCATCGCTGTCATGCTAGTTGTCCGAAGGAAACACCTTACTGCTGTCACACCCCTCTACAGTCAGCAGTACGACTTCGTCCTCAGACCTTGAGTTGCTGCTTTTAGTCTTACCGTTCACCAATCGACCTGCCTGGCATGGTAGAACCTACAGGAACATATGTTCCAGCCAATATAGCTCGGTTGGGTTATCACGATAGGCAAGTTTGACCACCGCGTCAAGGTGGCAGCTACGGTCGGGTCAGAAGCTGGTTCTCACCTGACGAATTTTACGTTAAACTAATAATGCTTATTGAAAATTTGATTTAAAAGCTTATGTCAACAAGGTCTTTTATATTTAAATGGTGGGTTCTCTGTTTAAAATTCGAGCAGATAAAGCTAATATTGACAAACCAATACGCACGTTTAAAAGTCATCAACTCGCTCACAATTTCCAAGTTATATTGACGAAAAAATTCTTCTAGTTTCTTCTCTTCTTTTAGGATGGTCTTGTAGATGGTGTTCCTGTGTGGCCAATGATTTTTTACTGCCTTCGAACGGGAGATACTGAAGTTACTTTGGAAGTTGCTCGTGATGCCTTGTAAGTTACTTATTACAGATTAATATGACCTGCGTTATTTATTAGCATATTAATAAGGTACTTGAAGTGATTTATCGCTTTCGTTAAATCACGAAGAAAATATATTTATATGTATGGATTTATTTCTGGGTCATTTACTTTAAGTAGTTTTGTGATATACGACAATTTTTTTATTACTTCCTCATTAAAGTCGAACTCTGTAAGACTGCCATAGTAAGTCATAAAGAGTTCGTATAGTTGCCTTTAGTTTAGTTTTTGGAATATCGAAAGAGCATATGGTACATCATAAAAGCTTCGAATCTGATTTCCTAATCAAGTTTGTTATCACATGGTACTTAAGAGTTGTACTTTGATCTGTTTTTCGTCAAATAGAGTTTCAAAAAATAATTTTAGTTTTTATAGTTTCTATTCTTAAAAGTGTAATCTGGGCTTTGTTTTTCTGAGTTATTCTAGTAGTACATCCATTCTTATTTCAATCGTGTTGAATAACTAAATTTGGTCTAACTGTCATTAGTCCAACTTTTCACTTCATATGCACTTTTTTCAACGAAGTAATATTTCGCGATTATTCTCGATCCTATTGATCAGTGACACTTGAAATGCAAACTAGCCTATGATTTGACTCAAATGGAATTCATGCTGTTTTGGGTTGCTCTCATAAATTCTAAGTTTATCTCCTTGTAATTTTCTTGGTTTGTTCTAGTAAACTTAATCATCGATGCGATAAAACGCTGTGTAAGATTGATCTCCTTATTTCCTTTGTTACTGCATTAATTTGAACTCTTTGCATTTTCAATTACAAATACTTATACTGTAAAATCCCGAACTTTGTCAAAGATTGTAGCGTATTTACTACTGATATATGTCACTTGCCAGATATAAGTTAATTTGATCTTTTTCAAACCATGTAATTTTCTTGAGGACGAGTGATACTACCTAACTGCCTAAATCCAAGGAGATGCAACAGGGTTCGCATTCACAACGTAATTCTAAAAAGCCGAGTCATATAATCACTAAAAAACCACTCCGTTGTACTAGTGGTCAACATTTACAGTCACTACTAGGGATAAGTCTACCGTCGGTTATTCAATTTACCTACTTGTGAAGCCTTTTTACATTTCTCCCGACCGTTGTTGCTACCTTGACGTGGTGGTCGGGCTTGCCTATCGTGATGAAGCAACCGAGCTATACTGGCTGGAACAACCGTTCCTCAAGGTCCTACCATGTCAGACAGGTCGGTTGAAGAGCGGTAAGACTAAAAGCAACAAACCCAAGGTCCGAAGGCGAAGTCGTACTGCTGACTGTACAGAGGTGTGACAGCAGTAAGGTGTTTCCTTCAGACAACCAGCATGACAGCGATGCTGCCTTCCCACAAGGAGGGGTGGGGTTAGAAAAGGTCGACCCTAAAAATGCACACCTCGCCTTATCCCACGGATATCCGTCTCCGGCGGTAAGGTCTCAATAAGTACGGAGCTAACACAAAAATTACCCATAACAAGGTCGTGTGTGACCGACCTCAAGCAGTTGTCCCTTGGGCACTGCGGTCACGCTCTCAGTTCACTAAGACCACCTTTAATCCAATTTCCTTTTCAGGTACCTCCAGAACAACCCTTCCACGGTGTGGGCAACCGGGAAGTGATAACCGCCCTCATACTTCTAACAGCACTCAAGTCCACTGTATTCATAATCAACCTCCTTCTTCAATTCCTATTATTCCTCCTACATCGACTTTCAACTCTGTATTTCCTCTCTCGGCTTCCACCTCAAGTGTCACCGTAACCAACGATTCTAGTGCGCAAAACACTGTCCCAGGTCTACTGAAACCTCGCTCCAAACTACACATTGGAGCCTTCAACGTACGCACCCTATGTCAAATCGGTCAGCAGGCTTCCTTGGCTAAAACCCTAGAGTCTCTTTCCATTGATGTATGCTGTGTCTCCGAAACACGCATACAGGATTCCAGTGTGGTCATTCACTTGACCTCACCTCGGCAAGACGGAGAGCCAACGAGATACACCCTTCGTGTGTCCGGTGACCCGATGGCAAGTTCTCGTGGACTGGCAGGTGTAGGCATAGCACTAAGCATAAGGGCCGAACAAGCACTGCTAGAATGGATCCCCGTCAACAGTCGTCTATGTGCTGTTCGGCTGAACGGCTACGTAAGAACTCGGAAGGATAGGGACACACGTCGTTGCCTTTTTGTCGTTTCTGCCTACGCTCCCACTGACTGCAGCTCAGATGAAGTGAAAGATGAATTTTACAGAAAGCTATCCGAACTTCTTCAGAAAGCTAAACGCTCAGACATAGTACTCGTAGCAGGTGATTTTAATGCTCAGGTAGGCAGTTTAAACCAAACAGAAAGGCATTTAGGTGAATATTTTAGTATTCCGACACAGCGAACAGATAATGGTGATCGTCTGCTGCAGCTATGCTCAGACAATCGTTTATTTTTAGCAAACACAAATTTTAAGCATAAGGAGAGACATCGTCTAACATGGCGACCCCCTACACCAAACCAACGATGGACTCAAATAGACCATATTGCCATCAGTCATCGTTGGAGAGGGTCGGTAGAAGATTGTCGTTCATTCTGGAGCACCTGCTTGGACTCCGACCATGCCCTAATACGGGCACGCATCTGCTTGCGCCTCACTGGACGCAAAAAAGCCACATTAAAAAGACCCATTAGAACTGAGTTGAGTAACGAGAAAACCAAAAGTAGGTTCCAGGAACAACTGAGGTCACACTTAGTTAGTTGTGAAGACGAGGCTGACCCAGATGTTGCTTGGAATGACATACAAGCAGCTGTGGAAACAGCAGTGACATCTGTTAGTGACTTAAACCACAGAGTTACAAGGAACCAGTGGATTTCTTCAAGGTCTGTCACACTGATGGATTCTCGCAAACTCGTCCCATCAGGTTCTGAACATGATGAAGAGCGTAAACAAATCAGATCTAGGTTAAGAAAAAGTCTAAGGAACGACCGTGAGCAGTGGTGGGCAATGAAAGCAAAAGAGATGGAAAAGGCGGCGACTATAGGGAACACAAGACAGCTTTACAGACTAATAAAAGAAACTGGAACTAATAAGTCAAGTGTAAGTGAGATATCCGTCTATCAATAAAAGGACGAGTATACTGCGCGGCTGTCCGTTCTGTTTTAATTTACGGCAGCGAAACATGGCCCTTAAGAGTAGAAGACACCCGTAAGCTACTAGTATTTGACCACAGATGCCTTAGAAATATTGCTGGCATCTGCTGGGATCACCGGGTAAGTAATAGTGAGGTTAGACGCAGGGTATTAGGGAATGATGGTAAATCGGTTGATGAGGTTATGAATCTTCATCGACTGAGATGGTTGGGCCACGTATTACGTATGCCTGAACACCGATTACCGCGACGTGCAATGCTAACCGGTGTAGGGGATGGTTGGAAGAAAGTTAGGGGCGGCCAAACCAAAACGTGGCATCAGTGCCTGAAGTCACTAACTTCTAGTCTGAGCCATGTTGGTAGATGCAGACTACTTGGTTGGGTCCGCGTGACTTTCGTAACCAATGGTTGGAGACCCTTGGTGACATGGCTCAGAATCGATCACAATGGCGTCGGTGTATACACTCCCTGTCTTCTCTTAAACTAAGAGATTAAGATCACTTCACATCTTTCTTTCTACGAACTAATTCTTTCTTCCTATACTATATCCTTATTGCAATCTTTCTCCTATATATTACCACCTTTGACCTAACCACTCCTATGAATCCAGTGTTCATCTTGCTGTGCTAATGAGGTATGGCAACCTGGGCCGATGCATACATGTGCCTGGTCCTACGTTGTAGCTGACTGACTGACTGACTTTTTACATTTCTGTAAATAAAATATCTATACATTCATTTTTCTCAGAAATGTGATTTATAGAAATAAATTTTTAAAACATGAGGGGAATATTGCTTATAAAACATGGAAGTTTGATATGCGAACGCATTTTGCCAGTCCATTGCAATTTATCTGGTGTTACTTCAAAATGGGTCTGTTGAGGTGAAGGATTCGCAGTACTAACAAACCGCTTCATTCCCTACCACAATTTTATTCTCAAGTTACCAGGTCATGAGTCCTAGCGTTTTAGAACATGAAAACTAATAACCAAATATATTATGACACTGTTTTTAATATTCATATTGGTTATCATAAAATATTTCTCTTTTCTCCATATTATTCTCAGAAACAACTTAGGAAACTTTGTAACGGTGCTAGAGGATTATGTAAAACATAACCGCCGTCTCAGAACTCCCAACCAAGCAAGATTTCGTCAGACATGCAAACAAGTGATCAAGTCTACTCGTGATCCATATAAACGGTTAGTAGCTAATATTATGTTGTATTGTCTTTCTATTGGAGATGTTATAAATTCAGATTCCTTTTTCATCTTTTCAAAACCTCGGGGAAACTCATCGTTCATCTATACCCACAGTCAAATACTCTGTCTCCTTCGTTTTTTTAGCACGTTAATTAATCACTCAATTTTCAAGGCCATCGTAAATAGATTTGTACATTAACTAACATTGTTCGTTTAAATAATTCTTCTTTGGAAGATTGCCATTTTGTATGGAATAAAGTTGAATTGTTGTATTTATTCTGACCACTGATTGGAGTGTTTCGCAATTTCCTTTATAAGTTAATAATGTTTCCATGTTTAATCGCGAAAATAACTGTCTAATATAATTTTCTATTATTACTGTAATATTTGCTTAATCTTTTAACGTCCATATAGTAATATAATAAAAAGTCATATTTCATGAGAAACAAATGGTCGTTCTAAGCAATATTGTATTCAACCATTTGAATTACAAAATTACTCATCACGTCGAAAATCAACCATAGGTTTCGCTATCTAAGATAAAGTTAAGTAATTAATTAAGTTTTGGGCACATATATATGTTACATTGAAAACAAACGGAGACTATAAACTGAGTTGTAATAATACCTGATTGTCTTGGCATCAGATTTACTTTTAGATCATAATGAAAACTTCCCTCGAACGTATACAGTAGAGCAAGCCACTATTTAAGAAAGTTTAAATAGGTTATTCTAGAATGTAGGACAAAGTTGTATGAGAAAAATGGTACTGTTTTCCTATTCACGTTCATTTTTTATGTATATTCCGCGGCTTTTCCTATTTCGCTCCTGCAATTATAGATGTTTAGTTGTTTTCACTACAATTTTTTGTATTTTAGACTAACATATTCTATTCTTGGCCAATGTGACCTCACTGAAAATCATTCAGACATTATTTCAAATATAGATGACTTTCTATGGATAAAGATATCTCAAGTTATTGCTCAAGAGCCCTCAGAATCAGTGGTTGCATCAAAAATTAGTATGGATGATACTTTTACTTTAGGTCAATTGCAAACTTTACTATACGAAACCTATGGTATGAATATTTTTGTTAATTATTGTATTGTTATGTTGTATATGATTTCCGCATTCTTATAATAGATTAATTTAAATTAATGCCAAGCTTGTTGCTTGAGAAGTCACCCCATGACTTACGTTTAGTGTATAATGACTCCTCTCTTCATTGATACCCATGCTTGCAGTAATTATTTGTCAACGCTTCTATCTGTCTAGCAAATTTCTAGAATATATGTACACATCACACGTCTTTGATTATAGGGTTAAATAACTTTTTACCTGTCTGTTCCATCTTAAATCATAATAATTAATCTGATCACAATTAGTTGTAGCACGATGAAGTTATATTGTTGTTCAATGCCCTGTTTTGTTTTATTTTAAACTTGTGTTTTGATTTACATACTACAAGTACATTCATCAAAGCAGCCTTCTTACCAGTATTTTGAGATTCCCCTACCCTCTCATTCTGACCGATCAAATATTATTGAATTATTTCATAAGAGACTAATATGAAAAAGTCCACACTTATGATAGCATGTTATGTAATTTGCAACGCTTCCCGTCTTGTATAGTGTGCAACTGAAAGAATTAACGGTGGGTTGCTTGTGCAAGAAATAAACTTGTACTTTATTAACTTTGAACGGTCAGTTACAGTATTGTTTGCAAAAGTACTGAGTAAATGAAATTCAAGGCCTCAAGAATTGTCACTTGCTTTGTATCTTGACTAAACTAAGATTAGTCTAGTTCATCTGCACTATATTACAGACTGTTCTTCAGAGCTTTCATTCCATAAAAGACATCCTCAAAAATCGTTTTTATAGTCTTAAAAAGTTCCCATTTACTTTTTTTTCTAGGTGAGGTGCACTTTGACGCATGGTCTCAACCACTGGTGTTTTTTAAAATACTTTGTCTTACTCAACAGTATGAAGCTGCTATTGGATTTCTCGCTCGATTTGAACAACTACGATGCCATGCTGTTCATATTGCTTTAGTTCTGAGAGACTTACATATGCTTTTACTTCCCAACTGGCTCCACGCGCCACTTGGTAAGTCGCATTAATTTCTGTTTATTTTTCTATCACAAACTATATACTATTCTATCCTAACCGATTTAGTTTATTGTGATAATCGAGCCAATGTTGAATGAGGTTCAGTTTTATCTTTTTTTTTCTCAATGCATATATTCCTAAAACCACTTAGCTCTCACTCAACAATGTTTGTTTCAACAAATAAAGTGGAAAGTATGACTTTCAAATACAACTTAATATAAAGTTTTCAGAAAGATAATTTTCTGAATTTTTCCCCTATTGAGATTGTGAATTAGTTTTTATTTAAATTTGCCATCTAATAGGCTTATACATTAGTCTCTATAACGTGGGTTTGTTAGTGTATTATAATGATAGTCTTAGTAAACCGCCTATTACGAATATAGTTTAAGTTAATTTTTCTACACCATAATTAGTTTTTTAGGAGCTTTTAGTTTGCTCTAAAATTTATTTTTACGGACTGAATTGCTGATTAATGTTCCCTAACATTATTTCTACCTTAACTGTTTTTTACTTATAAGAAAGGCAGTATATCAAGAATTTTCATCTTTCAGCTCAGTAGTTAATAAGTTTTCATTCTGTACTTTTTTATTATACCAAGTGGTTCGTAATGATTACGATCCTACAGGGTTTCGTAGGCTTAATTTGGCTCGTTTAATTATGTTGTATACGCGGAAATTTGAATTCACTGATCCAGAAAAAGCCCTTATGTATTATTACATGCTTTCTGACATCCCAATTACTACTGAAAAGTCACCTGAAGAAGATTCTAATGCAACTATTCCAAGTGGTCTATACAATACGTCTCTCGAACATTTGACTGCTAAAGGTCAAAATTTGTTCGTCCAATGTGTTTGTGAATTGGCTTTAGCAAACAAGGAGGTAGGTTTTTCAAAACTGTTTTTTTTTTAAATAGTCCTATTGCTAAATAATATACATAGTTTACAAGGATCTGTATCGTGCAATACTCTCTAGTATAAACTAATAGTTGGATCACGATTCCTAACCTATTAAGTTCCAAGATTCTAAATGTATTTTGACAAATTGCTTAGTGAAAAAGATACATGTTCATTCCTCGGACTTATTCGATAGCTTATCAACGGCTTAGTGGTCTAAGCACTAAAATTTTAATCAAACTTTTACTCCGCTCCACATTGGTCTGAGCAGGCGGGTAATATTACCATCTTTTTCACACCAGTTGTGACTCACAGACGAGTTCATGAATGTGTACCTAGTTACCACGTTTCATTACTTAATTGTCTGGTCATAATCTATCTTGTCTAAACTATAAGTATTAGTATATTCGACTGTTGATCTGTTTCTTCTATACATGTAATGCAAAATGGAAATATTCTTCTACTACCTTTGCAATGATTAACGAGTTTCTTTAGTCAATTTATTTAGTCGGTTGTATGTTACACTTATAAAATAAATCCATCTGCTTGAACTCACTTTTCTATCGCTAAAAACTATCTCAGGTTGTTAAGTCACGACGCCGTGTATTAAGTTATATCGCCAATACATGTTGCAAGTAGAAATCTCAGGTATGGTTCTCTAGATGTGAGGAAAAACATTTATTCAATTGCCACAATTGGCTATCATATAGACGCATGCTGTTACAGTTTTTCACTTTCAAAATAACATTCCGTTACATGGAGATTTTTTTAATAATAAAAATGAGTGTACATTTTTACCAGTTATGCTCATTGTTATTCTGTTCGCTGATATAATGATTTTCGTCCATACATTACTATCACTATAAAACTTATCTAGTTTTTTTACTTCTTAACTAAGCTTATTATTACCAATCGGCATTGCATATAGTCCAGCACATTGTATTCCAACAATTGTTCGCTGTGTCCTGAACTGTCTTATTTTATTGTAAACTTATCATGCTTATTGTCTTTGTCAGCTTTAAATTTACAATGAACACCGTTATGTATTGTTACTAATATTTTTCTTTTTTTAAAAGTTAAATCGAATTTCTTGAAGTGTACTAAAATTATACACGCAGATTGTGACTTCAAAAATCTAAAACTTAGTTGGGAGGTACTCAACACTTTTTTTACACCGAGATAATGTACTGTTTCAGATTTCCAATTTCTATGGATAATTATGAATTCATTCTATCTAAAATCATATTAGTTCATGCTGCAGTTTATATACTAAATTGAGTGCTTTTTGAAAATCCACTTAACGATATTCACCTGTATTACATGGTCATAACCAGTGTACTTTCATTTTACTGTTTACAGTTAGATTTACTCTTGGGATGTGTTGGTGAAAACGATATTCGCAAAGTAAGTTATAATTTACCTGAGATCCTCATTGTGTGTATGTTTTGTAGAACCTGTCACTTTTTGATGGCTAACCTATTGAGACTAGATCACGTTGTAGATAACTAACCTCTTTTTTTGATATATTCTATTGGAGTGATAGTATTCTGGCTGTAATACTGTTGGGAAATGTAATATGTCTTCAAAAAGAGATAAGAATCAGTTAGAAAAATTAAAATTTCGAGTCATCTTAAATTCGCGTAGCGCTCCTAAACTCACATTCTCATAAATGCACACATGTTCTTCGCCATGCCATCAGTCGTATTTACCATAAGACATGCTTTTTATTGTCTTCACCTGTCGACGTCTGGGCCGAATAGTTAATGAGGACGTAGTGCGAGTTCGGTTTCGACCTATTTCGCAGCACTGAGAACGCTTTTTTAAATTGTGTGGTCGAGCCATTATGTATCATTTACCAGTTTAGTGTTGAATAACGGGAACAAACGTGTTTCCTGACATGTCCAAGCACATTTGTCTAACTTAAGAAAGTTGTAATTTATATCATAGATGTATAATGCACATAAAAAGTAAAATTAGTACATTTAACTGTTAATCAGGGATTTTAAAATATTCGACGTCAAGTCGCATGTTTAAAATACAATTGAGAGATTGGTGAGTATTTTTGTTTCGTTTATATTATAATACTTAATCCTATATCATCTTCCAAAGATCTACGCGTCCCAATATCGATGGTATAGCTACTGGGTTCTGCAGGTGCCTGAGTATAGTCCACCTTCTAGATAATTTCAGATTTCATCTTACAACTGATATTTCGTTTAATTAATATGCCTTTCTTACATCAACATATAAATGCTTACAAATATCGGTTCTTTTAGCCTGGTGCTATCGACCGCTTTTGCAGGTCTGTAGAATCCCGTCGAGAGTTGATCCGTACTGTTGCTGATGTTTTTGAGTCCACTGGTCAAGTAGTTGAAGCTATTCATTTATATTTACTAGCTTCTTCCTGTGGAGATCCTAAACCTGACGTTCTAGTTTCTGTTACTTTGATAAATACTGTACTATCAAGTGTCATAGTAACATCTGATCTTGGGTCAACACCAATTACACAATCCCGATCCGGAGGACAATTGGATCGTAGTTCACTTCTGAGACTTGCGACAGAGGTAAGACAGAATTCCATCAAACATTATTTTCTGCATTTTTGTATGCTTGCTTTCACTATCGTATTTCGTACATGTTATGATAATTATTTTACTACAATCTGTTCACCACGATGGACCTTAATGTTCATCGTGCTTGAAGGCTTGAGGATGAAGAAATACATTAATTGTTCTTAATAATTATTGTCGATTAGTATACATTATCGTCACAAACTCCTCTTTGGCGCGCATCCGAACTTAATATTCAAGAGTAATTATATGTTCGTCTTTAACAATTAGTATTTTCGATAATTTCAGCATCGCGATATACCTAGTGCATGAACACCAAGATCTCGACAGGGGAAAACAGTCATTCTTACAGTCTGTCTGGGAAACAGGTTATCTTTATAGTTAAATAAGTACAAGTTAAACGAATATAAAATCGGTAAACAAAGTGTAATGAATGTTTTCATAATGAAGCCTCATAAGAGCTCGGAAATATATCCTACTTATTTAACAAGTGTTAATGAATGCATCCAAAGTTAATAGTTTGTATTACTCTGGAAATGTGCGCAGTGTTGAAGATACCAGATCGCTTAAATATACATATATTTTCACAAATTATTTCTCTTTTTTGACTGAATCATACTAAAGTAGTGATCATGTTCAAAAAGTGTCCCTATGCTCCTGTGAATAGTTTTTATAAAATATAGGAATGTAATAGGGAGGAAAATTTTTCGATTTAGTGTTCAAGTTAAAGCAAGTGTATCAATTCATATTTACGACCTCAACAGTATAATTATTTCAACTGTCTTTTTGCTAAACAGATTGCTCATAAAGTCCGCCGTCTAGGCTTATCATCAGATGATAGTAATCATCTCATCCAAAATGACATGGAAACAAGTGTGACTGGATCTACCTCGGCTATAAAAATATTATTTTACCTCCTCGATTTGGCCGCGTTCTTCGACTTAGTTGATGCAGAAAGATGGCAAGCAGCTATTGACCACATAGATCAGCTGGGTTTATTCCCAATTAATTCGCAAGCTTCCAATGTAGAATTTTGTGCGATGCTGTTCTCGCAACTCCCAGATCTTGTTCGCCGCCCTCTGCCGTGGGCATTATATGCTTTAATGCGTTGCTTATCAGCGAAGTGTGGTCGAGTTACATCTGTCACAAGGTCAGTTCCGTGATAAATCAAATAGATGTTGAAACTACTTTTTATTAACTCGATAAAAATGTTTAATGTTCGTACCCACTTGGCTTATTGAAACATTTTTAGCAATGAAACGCGAGCGGACAGCACTTCAAAAATGGCTACTTCTGAAATTCGCTCCAGAGCAAAGGCCTTGATAGCATATGTTGGTCGTATTCCGCACAGACTACCAAGTGAAATTTATGCTGGACTTACTAGGATGGATATGGAGATAATATAGTCTGCTACTGAAATGCTTTCGAACAATCAACTATTAGTGTTGTGTACATTATCAATACTTTCTGTGTACCTTTTCTACAATAAATTAACGAATAAGGTTGCTATCGTTGATTATCTCTACTGTTACTGTAATGATTTCACCACCGAATCCACATTCTGAATGATGATCGCAGTAAATTAGGTTACTATCACAATACAAACTTTCAGCGTAACCAAAATTGTATTATTACATCGGAAACGTAAAAATTTTTTTTACAAAATATAGATTCTCATTACAATTTTATTACAAATCAATAGTACAAATCTCATATTAACACCTGTATCACACCTGCCGTTGCATTTTTTCAATACATGCAAAAGTTAAAAAACAGGAAAATTGCATACTTGATGAGATTACTGGGCAATAACAACATACGGACATAGACTTGGGAAAAAATAACATTAAATAGCTTTCAAAGGAATCAGTTTGTAAGTTTATTTACAAAAGACTTAAATAAAATTAATAATTTCCATATTTAAACCGCAAGCTAGTTGTCGAGTATCCGACATAACCACTTTCATGTAGGGCAGGACGATAAAATATGCGGTGCTAACACCTGTCTTAGACTTGACCACTATGATAGGGAAATTAACTATAAAGCAACAAGTGGATAAAAATCCAAAATAGCAACTTGAATAAAGGAACCCTCTAAAAATATACAATTACAGATATTATTGACGGAAGCAATACTTTTGAGTTGTTAGCGGCGCGCTGGAATAATTGTAGTAGTATTAATGGGAGGAGCAGATTGCGAAAAAGCATTGTCCACATAATTTGTATGGTGAGATACATTGCTGAAATTCTGAGGATGCGTTACAGGTCGAGAGCGCATGCTACTGTTGACAGATGGCTTAAAAATAGCAGGGTCTGGTTTTAGATGAGTTGCCTGTTCCGGACGAGAAATACCCGTTGCAGGTATCAGCTGAACTCGGCGACGATAGAATGCTCCCTTAGACTCCATGTATCGCCTAACATAAGTGGTAACTCTTGATCGCACTGTCGAAGGAAGTTCAGGAGTAAGAACAGTTGAAAATAAAGAAGTGTTCGCTGCCTGGGCTTGATGAAACTTCTGTATTTCTTTTAGGATTACGGCCTGAGCAAGCTGGAAAAATAGGAATGACTTAGTAGGTTCAGCAGTAATTTCATAATGTTAAAACATATCGCACAATGAATTACTGAAATCAATAGTGTGGTTTATTTTGATTTAAGACTACATGATTATTCCAACAATAGATAATCTAAAAAAACTGGTTCCTTAACGACTGATCCCTTAAAAGCATTTGTATAAAACTGAACTCTTATAAAGAGCAATCGTACACAGCAAAAGTGAATAAACTACCTTTTTTGTTAAGTAGTATAAATCTTCATCGTTAACAATACGACCAAGTTTACATCGAGCATCACGAAAGCCACGTAACGTATTGTGGACCAAAGTGAATAACTGAAATAAAAATATTGTATTTTGTTCATCTAGCCAGTCGCAATATTTTTAATGTATTTTTAAAAACCGATTATGCTATTTATCAAAATAAGTCGCCCGATTCTATATGTAGGTGGTAAACAACAGATTATTTAGCCGATAATTCCAAGAATCCTCATGAATTTTATAAGACGTAAGTGTAGTTTACGTCCAAGTTGCATGACAAGCTGTGGTCCATAGTAATCTAGGTGTTTGGATAAAATTATCATACATATTCAACAGTTCTTGAATCTAGCTTGTAATGATGAGACTATCTTACACACGCTATATCAGTGAATTATTTTCATACGTGCAATACGGTCTTCATAGCCTGGCCTTCCTTAAAATGTTACTCCAAGTGGATAAAACACCTTATTCTAATTACTCGTACGTCTCTGATTTAACAGTAGGAGTGTTTAATTTACAAAAAAGTAACACATGAGAAAAATAAAAGGACTAACTTCCATGGCAAAGCCTTGTTCAGTTACATCCTGAGGAGCATCTGGTCTGCCTGCCAATTCATGCAGAAGATCAATGCACTGACGTTCCAATATTCGTTGACGCACGCGATTATACATCTGTAACATAAGTTCGGTTTGGAAATTATTGGCTTTTGTACAGCAGAACAAACGGTTCTAAAGAATTCCTCTTGTGCATAAGAGTGAGTTTTGGAACTATAGACAAAAATTTTAACACAGAACAAGCTTCAGTTTATCGTTTGACTTTTCAACACCGTTTAAATAAGGGCAAGAGGAAAAAGAACTTGGATGTAAATTAAGAACAATTCAAGTTGAGGTCATGAGACATCAGAAGCAACATTCGAAGTCGTATGGTCTTGGAGATGCTCCAAGGCGAGAAAATAAACTTGTTTACCAAGTTGTACTTGAAGAATGATGGATGAAGTAGAACAGACTTAATTCAGTACTACGAACTCCATTGAATAGTAATTGTAGAATGAATAAAACTATACACAGTAACATAATCACAAGAATATAATAGCATGGCTTACAGCTTCAATTTCTTCGTGTGTGACAGCGAATCGCGACGCACATCCCCAATTGTAAGGAGCTTCCGGGTCATCCTCTCCGGTTTCACCAAGAAGGGTATCCGTAGGATCGGCGTCCCATGGATATACAGGTGGATCCCACCTAGTTTGACGAGTCCGGACATGGTAATAATAATAAGCATATGTGCCAGAACTATCCCCTAGATCTTGCCCTTCTGTCGAACGCCTAGTATTTGGTGCTCTTTGCCACCCTGGAGGCAGGGGACTTGTACCATCTTTTGATAGGTGCAGATGCAAAGCAGGTAATGGTTGTCTTTCAGTTGGTTGTGCTCGCCGACGTTGCCTTAGCTGTGCGCAACGTTCCTGGAGTTATCCAAAAAACAGAATGCCTTCGAATATAATATGCAGTAAAAACTTCAAATAAAACTTGGGATAACTATTAATATTTTACTCAATAGTGTAATATTCATTTGGCTGACTGTAAACAGAATATTTTGATGCAGTAATACATACAATTTTCAAGATTTATCGGAAACATTCTTGAAACATTTTATTAAAAAATATCTCCCAAAGACTTAGCACGGTTTATACAATTAATTTTTTATGATGCTGGCCTTGAATATGACAAGTGCAGAGCATTCTCTCAATCATCTCTTTACTCCGTGTCTTGATAACAAATTAACTGACTAATTAAATATCAGTAATTCGAACATATGGTTAGGATTTTCTAGTGTTGGAATGTTTTCGTGCAACAACGCTCTGGTGATGGTCTAAATTTTAGGTTAAGCTAACGCTAGAATGTTTTTAGAGAAATCGGTAACAAGCCGACTGGAAATCCTCTTGGTTTTTGCTGGTAATGCTCAAATGAACTTGTGTTGCCACAAAAGTCATGCCAGTTTTGATTATATTCGGATTCATAACTCGTGACCATTGAAAAATAACTAAGGTCTTAAAAAATGGAGGTATTCTGTGGAGTCTAAACAAAAGCAAGGGCTTCTAGAAATCACCTACCTTCGTAGCCTTACTCAATTCCATTCCGGCAGAAACAGCACTCAGCGATGATGTAGCAGCCGAAGATGTACGTCTTTTTTAAGGCAAACAAAAGAAGTACTGAATATCAAGAACAATTAGATAAAAAAGGAAAGCTTCAGTTGAATACCTAATAGTAGATTTAAGCATTTACACAATAGCATTTCTGAATATCTTTATGAAAATTCAGATAGATAAAATAATTACATAAAGACCAACAGAAATACTCTTCAGCTTTCGAGAAAAAACTCGTCAACAATCTCAATGTACTTACGAGAAGAACAGGTACGTTTGACAGTTAAACTTGCTGGTAAAACCGGAATTAGTTTTGGTTAAGATAATCAGTTAGTCATTTGGTAGGGAAATATCTACTTCATTGATAATATGACACCACTTAGATGCCTCAGAGTTTAAGATAAATCATGACCCATCAATAAGTTACTTGTGATATTATGAAACCACAAATTAACAGTACGTAATCTCAAATTGTGGTAATTCCAACAAGTTTACGCCAAAGCATACAGGTCACTCTAAGTTTTAAGATATAGAGAACGTTCAGATCATTATAGTAGGGACGGACAAGTCTACTCTAGCATAATGCTAGCATTAGATAATACTAGTTACTGCATAATTTTTACGATAGTGAAAAAAATTATCTATAAGTTTTCACAAGTACTATTATTAAAATATGTATTACTTGGTGGACATTGTTGACAAATTTTGACGTATAGTGGAAACGTGTTTATATGGTCTCAGAATATTTTATTTAGTAAAAAGTCATCAAATTTTAAGTAAACAACTCAGTTCGAAGATATCGCAAACAAACTGCACATTAGAAACCATAAACTACCTCAACTAATTTGAATCAGTAGTTTAACACACCAGCACCATAAATATGGTGTTTCATTAGTACTCTGAGTCAGTTAGCTTTTGGACACTTTAAAATAAAACTCGATGGAAAATGAGTCAACATTTTTGATGAAAAGATCCTGCTCACAATTCTTATAATATAAGGAATTACACATATAATTGGAATCAACTAAGCCATGTAAATCACCACGCACGACCATTAAAATTACTACTTTGTGGTAAACCAATCTTGAGATTTTATTTTCCGGAAAGCATTTTTTTCCAGAGTATTTGTGGTTGTGAAATTTACTGTTTGCTAATAAAGCTCATTTATTTATTGGAAATATCAAGTTGGTAATTTCATCAGCCTTGGAAATAAAAAAACAAATTGGTGATATACCTTTGTGCGACATTTGAATCTAGCTGGTTGAAGATATGAGACGAAGAGAGAGGTCCAGCAAGAGCACATGATATCGTGCTACCGGGGTCAACTATTTTGGGTGAAGAAATTGGAGTTCTGCTGAACCTAGATATAAGATCGATGGGCTCACATTCAGAGTCGTCTATGAGTAGATCTACTCCGGGTATATAAATACCAGAGCTATCAACAGCTTCTTGAATAAAACAACTGTCCCTGTTAACATCACGGGAACGTTGTGCAGCGGAACCAATAAAAATGTTATTCCGTTTTGAAACTGGAAATAACAAAAAGTAGCGAACACACTTTTTAGTTGTTATTTCAATTTATAAATAGCATTTCATTGACTGAAATACCTGAACTATGAGCAGTATACAAGAACTCGAAAACATTGAAACCCTAAAAATGCGAACATAAACTATTTATTGGCGCAAAATTATCAGCTTGACGTGAGTGACTTCCCAAACCGTTAATCTACTTCTCAAAGATTAAACTATTACTGAAATTACGTTAATTTCCATAGTTAGTATCTCTTTACCGTTAATACGTGTAAGTTGTATAGAGTAGGTTATTAATAAATTTAATCCAACACGCGAATTCATCACCTAAAAGTTTTTCTAAAACAATCATTTATTAAGGCTATATACTAAGGATCCAACCAACAACTACAAAATTAAGTAAACGGAAGTCATCATAAATGACCTAAAACCTAGGGATTAACTAATAATAATAATAATAAATATTTCAGTCGCGCGAATTAAAAGGACAGTGGTATTTTTCCTCTCTGAGTAAATTCTATTGTTTTCATCGTTCATTACAAATCAAGACTACTGTTTTCACATTAATTGAATTTATTTCAGTATTCGATTAGAGTATCATTTCTGTTTCTAAAGTAGTTTGTCGCCGGTACTTTTGAGTACTTTGTTTTCTATTGTATCTGTTAGTGCTTTTCGTTTTAACAATCTACAGTTTTCCACTTTTTTGGTCATAGATCATTTTTGTCTCTGAGTATTATTGCATTTAGTTCTTTTTTAAAAAAAACCTATCTAATGGCTGCACAGTGCAAAAAAAAGCAGTTGCCAACGTCCGGGCTGTCGTTATCCCATTGAAAGCGGCATGCAGCGCGATGAATGCAAAGGCTGGTACCACGAAGTTTGCACGAATTTAACGCCTGTGGCTTTCAAACGGTTCAGTAAAAATGGTTGCGTCTGGCTTTGTCAACAGTGCTGTTCGGATGCAAACAACTTGCTAACCGAGACCATCTCACTGGTAAATGCTGCAAACAAGTATAGTGACAAGCGTGGTCGGGACACATCGGACAGTAATCGCTCTGTCGACACGCAAATTGGTGTGAAGCTAACCCAGGTGAGTTCGAAAACAGCTGACTCACACGGATTAAGGGAGGAAAAACAGTCTTCAAAGTGGTGTCTTAACTAAAAACTCAAGAAAAGAAGTTTCTTCTGTCCCCCGTCTTCTAAATGGTATCCAGCAAGAAACGCCTAGAAGCCACAATCGCAAGTCTCGATCGGTTTCTAGCGGGAAACATAACCTGACCTTCCAATTCGTCGATAACCCTCCAGAATCCAACGCTAGGCTTGACGCAAATGTTGTTTCTTCTCCCAGCACCGTTGACGAGTGGGTACAGGTTGTAGGGAAGAAACAACATAACGATATAAAAGGGAATCCTGCCCCCATAAAAGTAGTCGAGAAATCGAAGGCTGATCAGTGACAGATCAGCTATTTTTCATAGAATTAAGGAGAGTGAAAGCTCTGAACCAAAAACTTGTTTTGAGCATGACATTGTGCTGATAAAACAGCTACTTAATCAACTCGCCTCAAAATATCTCCGGAGTCACCTTGCTAAAGGTGTATAGACTAGGTAGTCTAGCGAACTTGAAGCCTAACCAATCCAGATTGCTTAAAGTAGTATTCAAATTTCCGAATGAACGCGACTTAATTTTACAGAATGGACATAATCTAAAGGGTTCAGGAGTTTTTATCCGCAAGGACTTGCAGTTGGCAGACCGTGTGAAAAGACGGGAAGCCGAGAAAGAACTACAACATAGGTTAGACGCTGGTGAAAAGGACATAAGAATTGTAAATTTTCGGGTTGTAAGGCTTAGACAGAGAATGATGCCCAAGCCACTCTGGGTGAAGCACGAAGCCACTTAAATAGGCTTCGGATCTGCTACACTAATGCCCGGAGCATACTTAATAAGCGATCGGAACTAGGTGTACAGATTGACTCTACAAAACCAGACATAATCGCAGTTACAGAAACCTGGCTGACACAGGCTACAGATAGTATGGAACTTGATTTCGAGGGTTTTACGTTGGTAAGGGCCGACAGAATACAAAAGCGTAAAGGAGGGGGAGTAGCTCTATTCATTAAGAATGCTATCTTATTTGCCATTATCGACAGTGTATCCCATGAGAGTGGGACGTGTGAATTAGTTAGTCTCCGTTTGAAATGCAAGGGACAAGAGCTGCTGATTGGTTTGTTCTATCGCAGTCCAAGCTGTGAGGTAAATGAAGTCCTGCTAAGCAGTCTCAATACTTGGTCACAAAGTGGTCGATGTCTAATCCTAAGGGACTTTAATGCACCTATGGTAGACTGGGAAAATCTGCGAACTGAATCGTCAGAAAATTCCTTCGAGCAGGAACTAGTTGGTGCGGTTATCACATGTGCCCTAGTGCAACATGTGAAAGAAGCGACTAGGTACGACCCGGACACTGAATCATCCTAACTAGATCTGATACTCACTCACTATGTGGATGACGTTGCGAACCTTCATTATATGCCACCCCTAGGTAAAAGTGACCACGCAGTTTCAATTTTCGACTTCCACATAACTGTCAGTCATAAGCACGGGTCAGCCCAATCCAGACCTAGCGTCTGGAAAGCAAACATACCAGATATAATGCACTCAGTATCGTTAGTAGATTGGACAATAAACCCAGAGTCCTCAATTGAAACGGCCTGGGATGCATTTTGAAATTCATACTTAAAAGTTACCACACCCCACATCCCTTGGAATATACGAAGGGGGCCGTGAAACTCTCCACCATGGTTCAGTAGGGAGGTCCGCATCCTTCTCAGTAAGAGAAGAAAAATGTGGGATAGATTTAGGTTACTGGGGACTGATGAGACAAAATCTCAGTATCGAAAAGCTCGGAATACCTATGCCTCAACCCTCCGTAAGTCTAGAAAGTTGTACGAAGAAAAAAGTGTTAAGGAATCCGCCGCCTGTAGTTCTTCCAGAGTTACTGCCGGTCCCAAGCCCGGGTAAAGGAGGAGGGTTGGGCATGGGGTTAGCGTCCCCGTCCTGTAGAAAACTAACTCGCTAAAAAAACGCTTACCAGAAAAAAATTATTCAAACCATTTAAACTCTGCCCTGAAAGTTAGAAGGTCTTCATTTAGGGGAACTATGACGCTTCACGGTGAAAGCCGAGTTCCTAAACGCTTGTATTCCCATATAAATCAAAGGGCAAAAGGAGAGGAAATATTCCTGCACTATGGGGAGACAGTACTGCCGCATCATTAGTCGAGGACGACTTTGGTAAGGCTCGTGTTCTCGAACTACTTTAGCAATGTATATACCATAGAAGCACCCTTGCCGTCACTTCATACAAATCCCCCCACACATACACTGGATAGCGTGACAATTAAAGAACTCGATGTCTTTGGTCTGTTAAATAAGCTAGACATACGTAAATCCACGGGGCTCGATGAATTGCATCCTGGGCTACTGAAGGAATTATCTAACTTCGTTGCGAACCCTTTAAGCATATGCTTTAATCTATCCGTCGTTTACCAAAAGACTGGAAGAACGCCATAGTAAGTCCTGTCTACGAAACATAAACCTGGGAATTACCGAGTCGTTAGCCTAACTAGTGTGGTTGTTAAAATCTTAGAAAAGACTATTCGGAAGGAGCTGTTTAAGTATCTCGATAAAAACCGGATCCTTTCGGAGGAGCAGCACGGTTTCAGAATAGGTTACTCTTGTCTCACTAACTTATTAGTGGCCCGTGAAAGCTGGTGCGCTCTTAAGGACCAAAAGTTACCTGTAGACGTAGCCTTCGTTCATTTCAGCAAAGCTTTTGACAAGGTTCCGCACAACCGGCTGTTACATAAGCTAAGAAATGTCGGGATCGGAGGCAATCTATTGATGTGGATAAAATACTTCCTATTTGGGCGCTAACAAAGAGTTCGGGTGAACTCAAAGTTATCTAGCTGGGAAACTGTGCTTAGTGGAGTGCCCCATGGTACAGTTTTGGGGCCAGTACTATTCCTCTTGTATGGAAATGACCTTCCTCGTCTCCTATCATCATCGGTCTTGCTGTGTGCTGATGATGTCAAGATATGGAGAACGATACGATATGAGGGTGATAGCTTAGAACTCCAAAATGACCTGCAGAAATTATCTGAATGGTCTCAAACCTGGCAGTTGCCGATAAATACTTCCAAGTGTGCTGTGATGCATATCGGTCATCAAGGTACAGATACATACACGATGAATAACACTGAGCTACCCGTCGTCCAGACACAATGACTTAGAAGTCATCGTTAGCCAAGATTTAAAGACTACTGCACAATGCAGCACAATAGCTGCCAAAGGTTTTAGAACTTTATGGTCAATACGTAGGGCTTTTAGACATGTCGACGCCAAAACGTTTTTGACTTTGTATACAGTGTTCGTACGTCCTGAACTTGAGTACTGCATACAAGCGGCTAGCCCCTGCTTAAAAAACGACAGTGAGCTTCTGGAAAAGGTTAGGAGAACGGCAACCAAGCTGATTCCCGGAATAGAGAAGCTTCCGTATGATGCTCGACTGGCCAAGCTAAACCTATTCCCGTTGTCATATCGTAGAACTAGAGGCGATTTGATTATAGTTTTCAAATTGCTTATTGCCAAATTCGCACCTGATATGCCCTCATTTTTCTTGTCTTCCAAAACAGAGAATTTACGAGGACACTCCGAAAAAGTTCACAAGCCCAGAACAAATTACTTGTCAGCTGACTATCGACGTTCCCACCGAATCATCAACGAGCGGTATTCATTACCTCAGCACGTGGTTGAGGCTCCATCCGTCGACTCTTTCAAAAGAAAGTAGGGTCAACTGAGAGACCACCATTGCCAGGGCTAACGCAGGTCATCAAGCCTCCTGTCCTCTCCAAACTGAAACTGAGTTTCAATAAGCTTGATGTAATATTTAGATCTAAGACCAACCCTCGGGCGAATTGTGCGTATCCGTTACTTTTTGAAAACCACTTAATTAGGTGAAGCCAAAGGTAGCTTAAGTACGTTTTGAACCGCTATATAAGCCTCAGAAGAAACAAGGTAAAATGAAGTATTTTTACCACAGGAAATATCAAAATCCTTTTGAAAACTTTTTACTGGCAATCCAAATAATGATGAATACACCTATTTCATATATATCGATTAGAAAATTATGGTTAATTGAATAATCTGTTAATCTTTATATTACGAGACTTCACTATAAGTATACGAAGCGGCAAACTACAGATGTAAAATCCAGGTTATCATTGACACTTAAATTGATATAACTAAGTACGTACCAGGTATGTATTTTAAAAATGGATCAATAGAGAAATTCGAAATAGGGGAGACAGACATCGTTGTTACTTCAACAGTAAGTTACAAGCAACTTAGAACTTAGTCCATATATGCATTGATTCAAGTTGACACGCCATATCAGTGCACGATGTAATTACCAAAACAAATTTCAGAGCACTAGAAACAGTACCAGTGGTGGTAGAACATTACGGAATAAAAAAAACACACGATAATTTAAAGAACAGGTCACAGGAAAACAAAGTGAGTGCGCATGCTAATTTTAGACTGATTCTGTCCAATGTCACTTGTCGTCAATCATTAGTTCTGATAATCGCACCAACACCAACCAGTTATTCCGCATCCATCTGCACGGTTCAGTTCAAAGGACCCCTCCCTAATTTCCTTTCGACCTACTATTACACCAGAAAATATATTTCGTCATCACGATGTACGTGCACGTACAAATTCGACATCCACTTTTCAGCGTAGATATTATTTCAAATGTCCGAGCCTCGCGAACAAAGACACTTAATAATTAATAAAAATCTATATGGTCGGTTCCAGCCATATACAGTAGTTTGGACATATTTGTGAGGACTCGATAACTCTTATGTCTGCTAAGTTACAGTTATTATCGAAGGCTAGGAGTAATTTTGAATACATATTAGGTGAAGATGAATAAAATAACAAGGCGAATAATTCCTTTATTAGGGACAAGCTTACTTGAAACTACAGAGTTGCCATATGAAGATTCTGGTGAAACTGCCGAAGAAGGAGCCCGAGATTTACTGAGGGGGGAAAAAAACGGAATAAGATTTTCGTCCTTTTCTAACTTTTTAGCTTGTTCCATTTCAGCCATCGTGAATGAATGAGCTACACAATAAGGAGGCGATTTACGCTCAGACCGGTATTTATTCTCTGTTATTTTTAGCGCAACATCCGGGACTTCATTTATTACTCCGATTTCATAGGTTAAATTGTGAGCCAAAGGTAAAGAATGATTTTCTGATCTTCGAGCTGTAGTTCTGATTTCCGAAGATAAATCGAAACCACGAGAACCTAGGCTGTCAAATTGATTATTTGATGTCGATGGTTCAGTAGACTGTTCTTCACATTCATCTTGCCCAACAGTACAGCAATTTCGCTTTGCAGAAGAGTTTGAAACTAAACAGAATGATTCATAAGGACGTTTAACGGAATGTGAAGTCCGAAAATCATCTCCAAGTATTTGTTTATTTCCAAATTGTGACATGTTTGAAAAGACAAAAGACTTCAATGGATCTTCGCTTACAGACTCTCCATGCCTTTTAGAGTCAGTATTCCTAGTCATACACGTATCACTGCAATCGTTATTCAGAACGCGGGAATTTTGTAGACACAACGGATATTGAGTACACAATTGTGACTGATCATCCGGTATAACTTGGGGCCGAACGAAATGCAGAGATTTACTGTTAACGTTTGCATATTCTGTCACACAATTAGGAATACCCTCATCATCTACAGTGATTTTTCTATCTTTTTCATGTCTGGTCGACATCCGCAGTGTAGCTCACAATATTCCAATAGCGCGGTGAACTAATCAAACACTGCTTCACAGTTCTTGATTCTGAATAGAAAATAAGAGTTGCAATTTTCAACATTTAGTGATATTTTGTTCACGTAACATTTGTTCATTTGCATATGGCGGCTTTGTTTGTAACTTTTGGCGCTCGGTATTTTCCGTGATGTTTGCCGCCACAACACCTGGCTCCATAATGACAGCCGAATCCTCCTCTCACCAACTGGTGGGGTACGTTACTAAGATGTACCCTACATTCGGATATATTAATAATGAAATTTTTTTCCAGAGGAAGTAAGTTTATATTAACTTGCTTTGTATTAAGACGTAAGATGTGTAATTGGTCCTATGGTTGAGGTAGGAGATAATGTTGCTGCAAGCGCAGTTTATCAACCTCACATGCCTATAAAGTGGAGTGCCGAAAAAGTCTGGCGAGTTGAGGAACGTCGCGGCAAATCTAGAGATAAAGCAGAAGAAAGCAGCTACTGGAAGAGTCAGTCCCCGCGTAAACACTCTCCACGTGATAACTACACTAAACCAGCATCACGTGAACGAGAAGTTCATCAATCCAGCGGCGATCAGCGACGAGTAGATAAGAAGCGTTCTCATGTTCTTAACAGGTATTGTGCTGTTGATTTTTATTTTCGTTGTTAGAGATGACCACTCAATCAAAAAATCTCCGAATCGTGACCGAAGAAGAACTCCTGTAGATCCTGTTTCAACGCGACACTCCTCTCCCACGACTGACTTGTATTGTAGGACTCCGATCAACCCAAAACGTATGCTGAATGTGAAAGAGTACTTGTTCTCAGACCTACAAAGACGCTTCCCTAATGTTCTCCCGCCAGTTGACTTGTATCGAGTTAGATGCAATTGGCAAGAATCATTCCCATTACTGCGACCTTTTCAGCCTCAATACCTTACAACTTTCCAGGTAGACTTTCCGACTTTTTTTACTGATAAGCTTAATTATCTACTGAAGAAGCAATTATTCCTAACTATTAATAGATAATTGCCACACCTTATAACCTAAAAACAATATGCTGTTAGATTGCAAATGCTTAGTAACATTACCAGCAATAGACTAGTTTCATGGCTTGTGGCCTTGAGGACTTACAGTAGTAGTCACTGGTGTAAGGAAGTAGCATTTCTCGGTTAAGACTGGTATAACGCAAAACCGCTGTTACTTCAAGTAAATGTTTCATCATAATGATAACTACGAGATCTCACTTCTTTCTAGGACATGTCATCCTACTCAAGTTTATAGCATCATATCTGACTTGATGCTGTACCAATTAGCTGGCTAACTCTACTTTTCTTTTTGGGTGGTAGTTTTGTGTTTTAGGCTTGTTAAGCTTATGAGTCTAAGCATAGTCATGTCATGCTTGTCCTCGCTAGTCGTCCCAGTCTTCAGTCATTCTCCGATAATATTCTCGATCTTAGTATGGAGGCTCTGCCTGACCCTTGTCTGCTCTAAAATAGTACTTCGTGAAGCTTCCTTTAAGTCAGATTCATCAACTTCTGTTCATCTGTCTAAAAGAACTGGGCGTCTATATTATAGTTCGTCTTGCCTTCTTGCGCCCACCAGTGTTGTTTATTTATTTGAACACAAAAACACTGGTACAAAGGGACACCAAATATATGTGCGCCACAATAAAGTTAAGGTTGTAACCGTGTCGAAAAAGTAAAGTATGATATGAAAGATCATTAAGTGGAAACTAGTCTATGAACGAAATAATGACAAGCAGTGAAACCAGGCAAATATATCACAAGGTCCCTGCGAAAGCGCACGCGGAACAAGCTTTTCAAAGCGACAGATGCAGTGAGTGTGTAATAATTCATTAGTCTTGAATGTGGACCTCAGATACACAACGGACAGGTCTAATTCCCGAGGCAACGACGCAACGTTGAGAGATTCAGTCCCATGGTAGCCTGTGACCAACGATAGGCTCATACGCGATTTGTTCCCTTAGGAACCTCGAGCCCATATGCACCATTGGTTTAAGATTAGGGTTATCCAACTTCCCTAGGTGGATCTTCCGTATCTGCCGACCCGTATATTCGCTTTTCATCCTATCACTCTCGTAGATAACACCGCCGCAATAAGGCACTTGGTAGGACATCCGTGGCAATGACTTTATACGAGTAGCTGTATGAGCGTTTCGTGAGAGAGAGAGAGCTGACTCTCCCCATGCTCTACTGTACCATAGCATTTGTGATGTAGAAAAGATACTAAACTTTTATTCCGTTTTATCTTACCCAGCATGTTAAAGTAGAAAACTTCTAGATGGATTTAGTTATTAACTAAGTATTTAATAGTTTTTGCACGGTGTTGTTAAATATGAAGTTAGGTGTAAATCCCAAGTTGAATCTGGTGCTTCGTTCACATACTTGATCTCGAAGTTAGTTCTCAACCCTAAGTAGGCCATATGGCTACTATTGTGCTGATAATTCAAGATAATATAAATACAAATACTTTCAGTTTGTTTTAAATTTATTCGTTGGCAAAAGCCTTTTTTCATTTTTTCATTATGTAGATAATTAAAGAACCTGAAGACGCTTGTGACGATGTGCATCATTCTTACAACAATGATAGTGGTTTTGCTGCGTATGTCTTACTTTTGTCACTCCCGGCAATGGCAGAACTTATGGAGAAGATAGTTGTCCGAGCAGAGTCGCCTAGTCGTGTACGCGGCTCGCTACGTAAGTACATCAAGATACTAGCTGCTGGAAAGGTTGATGAAAGACTCAAGGCTATTGGAGGTTCGTGGAGTCGTGATTTAGACGGGCCAGACCCAGCTACAAATCCTCAAACTCTTGTCAACACGGCTATTCGTAATTGTAAACAACTTATTGGTCTCGATTTATCGTATTGCACACAGTGGTATGTTACTCAGTTTTAACTTGTGATCTATGTTTCTGGTCAGTCTTTCGCAGTTTATTCTTAAGCAGGTATAGTGTAGTATCCAAATCTAGTCCCATTGCTCATAATCATTTTATTGTTAATGAAATATGTCACCTACCATCTTGACTACTGTTCTTCCGTATCTAGAAACGGTTGTGTAGAGTAAATAAGCTGTCTCCACATTCACTAGTAAGTCAATTCAAATGCTTTATTCTTCTGGATTGTGCGTTGATCTTCGTACAAAAACTCAAAGAAATCTCCATTGAAATAAATAAATTTATATCTGTTAAGTACTTATTTCTCTAGGTCTGTCCAACAATAAAACACTGTCAGGTCATAAGTGCTCACTATAGCGTCTTGGATTTTAAATCGATCCTAATGTTTTCACAACCTCATTGCATAGCTTGATAATTTATCTGTCTAATTTTTAACTTTCCTTATATTGTTTATATACAAATATCAAACAATATGGGTCTTACGCGTTCCTTTGATCGACGTCGCGTTTACTGTTGTTATCATCCTGTCCACTTTCCCAGGCACCGTTTCCTGGAGTTCCGCTATAGTCGTACTGAAGGTTCAACTGCCCAACCAACCTCAGTCTTATTTCCTGGCTCTCAACTTTGGGGTCGACCCGTCACAGAATCTCCTGAATCTGATATGATTCCTCCAAGCAAACCGTTTCATCAAATTGTCGTATATTTTATTCCAAATGTTTGGTCACTCATGCCTACAGACGAAGAATGGTCGACTGTAAAGCTGGCTTATGAAAATATCTTGGCTTCAAAAGAACCTAACGTATTTCCAATGACTCCTTCCAACTTGAAGAAGTTTTCTGGTTTAGAATCTGCTTTTAAGGGAACTGGTGACGGGAAATTAAATGTGGCGATTGAACTGGATTCAAATTCACTGAAGTCACCTACTCAAGACAATGCATATGAAGATTCCAATGTGTCTAAAATGGATGAAGGCAACAAGTCAACCTTCAAGCGCCTGTTGAATTCCATCGCTCTACCCGTATTTGGCTGGTCAGGAAACTGTTCCAAAAATAGCAATTATCTCCGAGACAGAGGATGGGTCCGAATCTGTGGATTTAGCAGCTCAAGGAAATCCAAATCAGGAGGTTGCTACCTAACTTACTGTTGTCATATTATGTTCCTACAGTATATCTAGCATTTAGTCATTTAATTTGCATATGAAGTCTGTAATTTATTTACGATCATGATAATGCAAACAACTTTCAAGGTATCATAGTAACTGTTATGTTTATCTGTTTTTTCCGTCAGGGAACTGATAAATGCCAGAAAAAGCTTCATACTGAACTTAACTTAGCTAGCATGAAGGTAAGCACATTTACATCTCTCATTCCATTTCTTATTGTCACTATAATATTTTGGAGCAGTACATGCAGTGGTTTCAAGCCAGTACAATCATAGGCACAAGCACGTTCTTTTTTTTTAATTTTATACTCTTGTGCAATACTTTCGTTCACATTCTTTCTATCAATTCGCATAAACTTTATCGTACCGCTCAGAATAATGGGGAATTTTCGAGCTTGAAATTTCCACGTTCCATTTCGAGTTTCTGACAATGTCTAGATCTAGATTTTGCAATTGCTGATGAATGCAACGTTTCTCTTAAATACATATTTCACTGGAACAGTTAGTAAAATGTTTACAACTATGATTATTGACTTCTTGCTATTAATCACTATGCACCAACAATGCTAATTATTTAACTCCATGAGATGTTACACCTGGTCTCTTAAAACCGCTCTCTAATTTACATGTGGTCATGTTCAAATATTTTGTCAACAGACTTCCTTAGCTCGGACTGTAGAGTTCTGTTCCATTGGTGCTCGCAGATTTATCAGGCTGCGAACACGATAAATAGCGAACGCAACTTAAACGTAGACTGGGAAAAAGCCTACACAAAGGTCATGAGCATTAGTGTACCGATAAATCGAAATTTTAAAAAATAGCAGTGACAATACGCGATGGGAAACAACTTTACAAATTTTTCAGAAAAACATGAAGAATTCGCCAATCACTGAGACTTTTTGAAAAACACGGAACAATGATCCACTTTCAACCCAGGAGGCCAGAATGGTGGGCTAGACACTTTGAAGAACAGTTTAACTACTCTGCATCTACCCTTCGGTTACCCACTTTTACCAAGCAACCTAAAATGTCAGCACAAGCCATTCAACTCTTAAAGAGGTAAAAAAAAAGCCATACCTAATCTAAACCGAGACAAAGGAGTATTCCCTAATGTAATAACCCGGAGATCTCTAAGGGTGATGTTCCAACTATGGCCATTAGATTGACTGGGATCTTGGCTAGAGTCTGGGAAGTAGATTTAATTCCACCTGACTAGTCTCAATCGCTGATCGTTCCAGTCTATAAGAAAGAACAAAGATCCTCTTGTTGTAACCACAAAGGAATCAGAATGATTGTGTCTAAAATATAAACCTCATTATCATATGACGGTTATCTAAGGTTTATGGGGAGTAAACTCGAGGAAAGCAAGATGGTTTCAGACTTAGACGTGGTTGTGTAAACCAAACATTCGCTCTTGCCAGACTCTGGAACACAAATATACCAACCAACTCTCAAGCATGGTTGTATCTCCCGACCTTAAGGCGGCCACGTTCAACTCCGTAGATCGGCGAGTTTTTGAGTGTCTTTCATTGAAAGACGTACCAAGAAAGTACATAGACCGTGTGAAGGCTTTCTATTCAAACACAGTTGATCGACTCCGAGTCCACTATCTCCATTTTTATTTGGTTTTATCATTGATATCCTTCTGGAAATAATATTTTCTCCAATCGACTTTCCGGGGGTCGATCTCCTGCCAGGATGTTCGGCTAATGACTTGAAATACGCAAATGGCATAGTTCTGTTTGATGAAGAAGCTGACAAAATCCAGTTTTATAATTGACTTGGGAAACAACGTTAGCATGTAAGAAATGCGTTTCTCTCACTGCATCATTGGTTGGCATACACAGTTTTATGCTAAAGCCTTCAAAATTGAACATCCATAAGTCCAGTCGTCTCTGCTTTTAATCTGATATACTAAAGACGCCACTCTTAGTTGTGGACAACAATCTGTTTTTTTACATAATAAGCTTATTTAGTCTTTTAAACATGGCTGGTTACCATGATTGTCTCGTCATCGGGTTGTCCTTAAAATGTATATTAATTTTTAGAGGCTCTGTACTCAACAACCTCGAGCAGAGTGAAAAGATATAAACGCCTCTATTTTTCCAACCTAATAAAAACGTCCAGTCTCACCATTCTTCAACCGTATCATCAATAACATTCTGAATACAGCTTTGGAAATACGTAGTGGAGGCGTTCATTTGTTACTTCAAGATTTCGAGTGCCAGTACCATTATGGTACAGTGCAGTAATACACCATGTATCCAAAGTTCTCATTCAGCTAACAGTTGGTGTTCGTAATTACTGAATGTACTTTTCACTTTCAGAACGCAGAATAATTCTTATGTCAAGAACCTATGTCTGCACTCGCATTCCATTAGAAACATTCGAGCATTCGGGTGATTAAGTGTTAAGTTGATAATAAGATCAATATACTTATACTGAAAAGTAGGACGGAGTATCCCGATCTAGGTCACTTATAGTCGCTCTAAAATGATAGCGTTTGCGAGCTCATTTGTTATCCTTTTAAAGCCTGGCATTTCTTAGCTGAGGACATTCAGTCACTTTCTATTCTCGGTCATCGTCGTCCATAATGGTTTGTTTGCGTCAGTTAGTAACTTGATTAATAATAAACGAGGTTCGGCAATGTGTGTTCAGACCACTTGGGATTATTCCCAAAACTGACTGTACTGCCTCGGTTATATTGTGCAGATGTCATTCCATGAACTTCCTGGGCGATTGTACTGAGTGGAAAAAGCGAACGCGACCGGTATATAGTGTGTATCTGTTGGTCCAAAACTATTATTCGGGCCTTGCAGGTTGCGTAACTGTAGCACAGAATAAAAGTCAGTACATATCCGCTTGTCATTTTCGCTTAAATTCTTCATAAAAGCTAAATAAACTAAATGCAGTCTCTATCGACTTTTAAATAAACTGTATCATCATATACTTCCGTTTTCCTACAGTATTATCACTTTATTGGTATGGTGCATTTTTGGTTTTCTATTTTACTACTTGAATTAAGTTACTCGAAAAATAAATGTTGATATTTAATGACTTTCGTAGGTTTCCGAACTGCGTGAACAGTTAAAAGCTCGTAATTTGCCTACTGAGGGAGTAAGAGCTCAGTTGTTGACTCGTCTCAAAACGGCAATCCAAGAAGAAGAAGAAAAGGAGTCGGCTAAGAAGGCTGAAAAAGAAAGTAAATCATTTCACAAATAGATGCGTGTGTATTCATCTAATTATATTCTCTAATCCCTTAAGTTTATACATTTTCCTGATCTACACTTTCAGAAATGGAGCAGGAAAAAACATTACAGTCTGTGACCATTGATAAGTCACCCCAAGTTTCAGAAGAACAAATAAAACCTTCAAATACGGAGTCTGGATCTAAACCATGGACGGATGCACCTAAGTTGACTCTCCGTGATCTCCCTTCAATAATAATCTTACGCAAGAAAACTGTCGACTTCACCGTACAGTCAGTTGGGCTTGATGTAAGTAGATATTTTATAGCTTCCTCTGTATTTCTTATCAGGCCATCAAATTGACCTTAGTTTTTTCGTTTCTTTCATACGAATTAATATAAACTGCTCGTCAACAATAGGTGTTTGCATAAACCTTAATGATGTGTCTATAATACTTGCCACAAAACTAAAAGAGGAGGCATCAATAGTTTGGGTAATATACCATCTTACTCGTAGTAACCTTTAGCATTACGTCACTCAAGCTTCTTCATTTTAAATAATAAATCAACCCATAGCTTCTGTTCGGTCAATCAGTCATGTTCAATTTAGAGCCTGGCACATATGTATGCATCAATTCAAGTTGTCACATTTGAATTTTAATCGGTTGTCAACTGAATAATTTACATTATACAATAGTCGAAGGTGGAATAGAGCGTTCTGAGGCTTCAAATCGGCTGCCGAATAACGAAAGTTATGGTAAGTCTCGTATCATTTCTAAATAGTACTACGTCCATTTAAGAAATTTCGTCAGTATCAACTCCTGATATAACTTGAATCAGTATTATATGTTTCTCTTTATTTGTTTCATTTTTGCATTCACTTCTCACATTGTTGTACTTGAAGGTTGTCATGGATTCAAAATCTGATTTTATGGACTGTAGATCATATGAATTCATGTTTTGCATCCACACAATCTTTGACATGCTTCGCAGAGATTCCGTATTCACTTTATTTCGTGCCCTTGTTACGGCTGCAGATAGAGGAATTTGCGCAAAACCTAGGAAACGCAGGTATTTTTAAATCTGTATTATTAGTTACTGTCTTTCTGTTTTATGTTGTGTTACCTCTTGTTCCAAAACTTGTTCATTCATTAATGTCTCCACTGTTTTAACTACTGTATTATACTCTTTGGGGGAGACTTTCAATAATTCCTTTTTTCTTAGTGAACCAGATTATGTAGCTAAACGTGCTCGTTTAGAGCGTAATGAAAGGACGTCTCTGGCAAAAGACGAGGAATTTAAGGAAACTCCATTGTATACGACCGACCTACCATTGCTTTTTGCATGCACAGTACTGGATACAAGCTATAAGAGTTATTTTCTCTCGTCGGAGGTCGAGGACTTCATTCTTTCACTAGGCTTGCCTATCTCTCGATATCAGGTGAGCGGTCGTTTTTAGTTTTCATTTAACGGAATGGTTGTTAAATTTTCTTGTACATGTCCAACATTTATTTGGATATTATTACTCCTTACTTTTTCCGTGGCCTATAAATATCTGACTACGCTTTGGTTAGTTTATTTCATTTCATTTAAACACATGAACATTGGTATTAAGAGACATTAAAATATATATGCGATACGTAATAAAAAAATAAGGACTCCGATCAACCCAAAACGTATGCTGAATGTGAAAGAGTACTTGTTCTCAGACCTACAAAGACGCTTCCCTAATGTTCTCCCGCCAGTTGACTTGTATCGAGTTAGATGCAATTGGCAAGAATCATTCCCATTACTGCGACCTTTTCAGCCTCAATACCTTACAACTTTCCAGGTAGACTTTCCGACTTTTTTTACTGATAAGCTTAATTATCTACTGAAGAAGCAATTATTCCTAACTATTAATAGATAATTGCCACACCTTATAACCTAAAAACAATATGCTGTTAGATTGCAAATGCTTAGTAACATTACCAGCAATAGACTAGTTTCATGGCTTGTGGCCTTGAGGACTTACAGTAGTAGTCACTGGTGTAAGGAAGTAGCATTTCTCGGTTAAGACTGGTATAACGCAAAACCGCTGTTACTTCAAGTAAATGTTTCATCATAATGATAACTACGAGATCTCACTTCTTTCTAGGACATGTCATCCTACTCAAGTTTATAGCATCATATCTGACTTGATGCTGTACCAATTAGCTGGCTAACTCTACTTTTCTTTTTGGGTGGTAGTTTTGTGTTTTAGGCTTGTTAAGCTTATGAGTCTAAGCATAGTCATGTCATGCTTGTCCTCGCTAGTCGTCCCAGTCTTCAGTCATTCTCCGATAATATTCTCGATCTTAGTATGGAGGCTCTGCCTGACCCTTGTCTGCTCTAAAATAGTACTTCGTGAAGCTTCCTTTAAGTCAGATTCATCAACTTCTGTTCATCTGTCTAAAAGAACTGGGCGTCTATATTATAGTTCGTCTTGCCTTCTTGCGCCCACCAGTGTTGTTTATTTATTTGAACACAAAAACACTGGTACAAAGGGACACCAAATATATGTGCGCCACAATAAAGTTAAGGTTGTAACCGTGTCGAAAAAGTAAAGTATGATATGAAAGATCATTAAGTGGAAACTAGTCTATGAACGAAATAATGACAAGCAGTGAAACCAGGCAAATATATCACAAGGTCCCTGCGAAAGCGCACGCGGAACAAGCTTTTCAAAGCGACAGATGCAGTGAGTGTGTAATAATTCATTAGTCTTGAATGTGGACCTCAGATACACAACGGACAGGTCTAATTCCCGAGGCAACGACGCAACGTTGAGAGATTCAGTCCCATGGTAGCCTGTGACCAACGATAGGCTCATACGCGATTTGTTCCCTTAGGAACCTCGAGCCCATATGCACCATTGGTTTAAGATTAGGGTTATCCAACTTCCCTAGGTGGATCTTCCGTATCTGCCGACCCGTATATTCGCTTTTCATCCTATCACTCTCGTAGATAACACCGCCGCAATAAGGCACTTGGTAGGACATCCGTGGCAATGACTTTATACGAGTAGCTGTATGAGCGTTTCGTGAGAGAGAGAGCTGACTCTCCACCCTCTACCTGTACTAGGGCGTTTGGGAGTGGTTTGAACAATCTGCGAAGTAAGACGGAAGCCAATAATTTAGACGCGATCGGAAGTCGATTTATCCCCACCCCTCGACCGTGATGGTCGGGCTGGTCTTTCGTGATGATTCAGCCGAGCTATAATCGCTGGAACATATGTTCCTGTAGGTTCTACCATGCCAGGGACGTCTATTGGAGAACGGTAAGTATAAAAGCAGCAACTCAAAGTCTGAGGGCGAAGTCGTACTGCCGACTGTAGGAGGGTGACAGCAGTAAGGTGTTTCCCTCGGGCAACCAGCATCTGCAGCGATGCTGCTTTCTCACAAGAAAAGGCGGGGTTAGAAAAGTTTGACTGTAGTAGTTGAGCGTGTCGACCGCTTAAAGAAAACCATTTTGAATGGCACACGTGATTTCAGTAAGTCTGGTAGCATTTAACTTTTGACCAGTTAGTGATTTGCGGTTGTTGAAGCAGGACAAAATCTTCACCGTGTGCGAGTTGTTGTATGAATTTAGAATAAGGGAACAGACAAGTTACGAAATGTAAAATAAAAACGAATGTTAGTTAGTGTTAGGATAATCTATTATGGTTGTAATCATCATTTGGTTTGTACATGGGCTAGGATACTGCCCTGGTACCCAAACCGAGGCGATTGTTTTCATTAGGGGACCACACTCCGTGCTTCTATACTAGAGGTGTAAAAATAAGCTAAACCTTTGGGTCCATCTGCAGGAAATTAAATCAAAGTACACTTGTACATTTAGACCAACCTAGTGACTGTCGTATACTTGCTTTTCCGCTTACCTTTTGTTGTTGTAACATCGTTTTTCCTAGTTTTCAACCCACAGATGTTTACAAGCCTAATACTGTTTTTCTTATTTAGCTTCGATCTCTCATATACAAAGTTCTTGATCATGGTCGTTTCCACTACCGTTCCTTGACGGATTCAGAAGAACCTCTTTCTTTAGCGAATAAATCATCTGTTATATTCTCCGATATAGACGATGATGAATATTTACTGGAACTTGTACGTGGAGGTGATGCTATTTTAGACGACCAAATAGATGCGCAACCTAGCGGAAGGTTAGTTTTTGTAGCTTCTTTTAGTTATCTGTCGATTTCCTGAATCTCTTTAGTTTAGTTTTGTAAATTTCCCATCTACCATATCATATTTAAGCCCACCAGGCGGAATATTCACGCTATTGATTTATTTGCTACTGTGTATTACTCGGTATTTTCACTATTGTGTTATCAACTACGTATTGTCTTATTTTTAGCATCGTTGTACTTCAAAAGTCTGGCGAATCATTTAATTCTCAGGCTATCCATCCCGAGGAATATCTCGGTCATATAAGAACGTCAGAACGCGAACACTCCAAACTGATGACTCAAATCCGACTTCAAGAACAGGAAATTGGTATGTCTCTATCGATTCTATATATAGAGTTATATCGAATAATTAGATATGTATTGATTCGTCACATACTGAATCTTAATGAACCAATCAGACAGTATTGGCCTTAACACTTATGCCTCTAATACGTCCTGTCATTCCAAGCAGATCGGTCGAAGAACGGTAATTCTAAATTCAGTAACTTCAAGTCTCAGGCCTAATTCATACTGTATGCTGTATAGATGTGCTCGATAAACGTCTTCCGCAGCACAAGTTTAAACGCTATGCTCTAGTGCAAATACCCGATTGCCTACGTCTTACTGGACGCCGTAATGAAACACATAAATGACCTCTTTAAGTTCAGCTTGACGTTAAAAAGTACCCGTCAAGGGTCGATCACCTGCCAGGATGTTCGGCTAATGACTTGAAATACGCAAATGGCATAGTTCTGTTTGATGAAGAAGCTGACAAAATCCAGTTTTATAATTGACTTGGGAAACAACGTTAGCATGTAAGAGATGCGTTTCCCATACTGAACCTAATGTTGTTATGACTCAGAATCGTTTGTGGACGCTCAGACACATGTATTCTTCTTGTTTTGTCTTACCTCGTGTCCCGATAAATCCTAACATTGTTTCCTCCATATTTAACTTTGTCTAGCGCTTCTGATATATGTAATGCCACCATCATTCTGATAATTATCCTTACATGTTTATTCTCATTGTGTTCATATAACGTGGCAAATAGAATCAATGCATACATGTCGTGCTTTTCGTTACATTTAAATGACTGACAAAATGTCACGTGGTCGTTATATCTGTGTTTTACTTTTTTTTGCAGCCCGTCTACGTGAATCTGTTGCGGACTTCTCAGAACTGAAAGATAAGTTGTCGAGAACTTCTTCAAGTATGGAGGACTATCGAAGACGATATAGGGATGAACGGGACAAAGTTGACTCTCTAGCTCGTGTTTTGGAACAACAGGCATCTGTTCTTGATGCCTGTCGATCGGCACTTCGACAAGCATCCAGTCGTTTTTATATTCGTCACTCGGTTAATGAGTCATCTAAACAACTCAAGCGTTCATTGTCACCTTGTTCAGTATCTAGTAACAAGGAATCTGTCAAGTCTACAAAGAAACTTAATACTTCAGATTCATTTAAAAACGATCTGTCATTATCTGATTCGCTGAACGTAAGATTTTTTTCTTTTTAGACTTCTTCACATTTTTGCAAATTTATTCAATTAATTTATTTCACTACAGGAAGGAAATGTTCCTAAAGTTGCGGAAATCGATTCTGCTACAGTCAAGAATGTGTGTGAACAAACTACTATGGTTTCAAACGTCAGTTCCGATGTTTCAGAATATGTAAGTGTGTAAATAAAAGTTACATTGGTCCTCTTCTTAACCGTCTTAATCGGTTACTACTGTTTCATCTTTGTATCGATCATCCGCTTATGATTCTAAAGATATTTTACCATGTTGCACTGGTCATAGTGTTACTTACAGTCGTCATGTTTTATGAAAGTACCTGAAACTTGAATTTTAAAGTGCATAAGAGTCGGTGTTTTCTATAAGTATGCAGCGCTACTGATATTATTCTCAGTAGGTTGTTCTTTCTCGTTACTTAGCCCTTATAAACTATTTATCGTAACCAATCTACATAATTTATTTTCGATTTTATCATCCGAGTTTCTGAACTTTAGTAACTTTCAGTGACCGAATAAAATCATTATCAAATGTTATATTTGTGAGATCAACATTCTCAGGCTATATACACTGTCTTAGCGGAAAAAAGCAAGTCTTTCAAATTCCCTGAGTGTGAACGTCACCTGTATGACCACTATTCGTCAAAATATGTATGACGCACGGCTGTTCGAATTAAGGTCTTGGTAATTTTTGGTTTCGTTTTAAAAAAAGCTGACTTCATCGATGCGAGTAGCTCAGTAATTTAAAAATAACAGTCACTCAAACATCTTAATCTTGAATTGCACATGGCTTCTTAAGAATTTCTCACTTATTTATTCTTTACTGTGTAGATCTGTCTGATCGGTTAGTGAAGTCTTACCATTTTGTTCGCTTTCTATAACGAACTGCTTTTCTGTGCTTTTTTTAAATCTAGTCATTTCCATATAATTTTATTATAGATTATGAATGGATTAAAAACGGAAGAAGCTTTGGTTCTATGCAACGCCAACGAGAATGCTTCAACAGCTGTTGATCAAAAATGTTCCATTGTCCCTACAGGAATAGAACCCCAAATTACTTTAAGTATGTTATCTGTCGTCTTTCATTTTAATTATCCGAAATTCGTTCTCACTGCATACTAATAAACTCTAATTTTAGGTTCAAGTGAATGAAACTGAATACGCCGCTTGTGGATCCGTTTGGTGATTATTAGCTATCCGTGCTACTGTTCATTAAAAATAAACACATGAAAGCTTGGTTTTTATTTTCAAAACTAATTAAAATATACATTTGTCTTGTTTTACTGGTTTGTTTTAATCCCGGACACACATCCTTAGTGTTATCATCCATCATAGAAAGAGATACTAGTCAATATTCGAATAAATCGAATTAATACGGAAGAAATAACTATAATCACTGAACTTGTAAATAAGAAACATTCTATCCCAGTACAAAAAACAAATCTTAGCGCCTGCTGATTGATTAATACCAGGTACCGCCAAATGACAACACAACTAATATCAGACTCATATAAAATTAACGATACTCGACTTAATTACATGAAACGTACCTGGTATTATTATTTCGATATTAGATTACACTAAACGAATAACAATAAACAAATGAACGTCAACGTACAGATTATACAGGACAATTGTCGTGATACAAAGAAAATTCCTGTGCTAACGTCAGTTTAAGATAAGTTCAATTTGCAACCGTTACTCTAGCGCGAATAAGATCCACAACATATATTTAGCTGACTCCAATTCGAAATTGTAATTCTCATTAGGAGTTTGATTTTACAACTGTTTTCAAACCAAGTGTGATTCGATTGCTAGCTTGTCATTCGGACTTACTAACAGCTGTGAAATCACTGGTGACAATTCGTCAATAAATTCTTCGAAGTAGCAACACACAATGTGGATCCCAATCATTATGATGCCTGTTTCCTTTCCTATTGCACCACTAATGCTTTACCATGTTTAGTTCATTATTACTGTATTTATTGAAAATTCCAAACTACTAGATGTGGACACAGTCGAGTCTTATTTCAATGTCAGCACTTCTACATGCGTGATATATCTTCCCACTACACAGTAGGACAACTCACTTATCAACTGTTGGAGAGACTTCATTCGCTCATCCCACTGAATTCGCATACAGCTAACATCGGCTAGACACACTTCGTTTAGCATTCCGGTTAAATCTGATGTTGTCGTTAGGAAACTAATCAATGTCACATTGACTATGAAATATACAAGGTTAGGAGAGATAACATGCTAGGGGAGCGTACAGGCCAAATGGATTCTAACCGTCGGTCAGTTAGCTGCAATGTATGACCAGGCACGTGTATGCATTGGTCTAGGTTGTCACACCTCATTAGCACAACATGTAGAACACCAAATTCATAGAGGTAGTTTCTCCAATGGTAGTAATATATAAAAGACTGGTTGTGCGCAAGAATATAGCACAGGAAGAAATAAACTAGTTGTAATATCAAGGTTAAAGAGAAGACAAGTAGTCTGCATGTATCAACATGGCTCAGACTAGAAGTTGGTGACTGATGCCAAGTCTTGGTTTGGCCGCCTCTAACTTTCAGCCGTCCTTAACACTACTCCGCGTTGGACGTCGTGACAAACTAGTCTATATAAGCCGATAGAGGAACAAGTGCTGACGCACCCGTATTCTCCCAGCCACTGTTGTAACAATATCCTCACAGAAGCACATACGCAAAGCCACCCCTTTTCCAAATCGTTCACACGTGTGTTAGTGAACAACATAACGATAAAGTGAAGTGTAACCCCAGAACATCGCTTAGCTGCACCCAGGCTGGGGCTGAGAGTGTTCATCACAAACTTTCATCGAAACACCACATTTTGTGTCCAGCAGCACATACAAGTGACCTACAGTGTTTGCTGGATGAAAAACTAATTACTAAGGTGAGCAACTGGGATCGGACTAGAGAGAAACAACTTCATTTTGATAGGTGCCGGGCAATAACAAACGCCTAGGACTCCATGTTGTGGCTAGGTAGTTTTTATTCGATCCGCACTTCATCATATGTACTGCATAGTCATAAAAGAAAATGAACTGCAACAAATAAATCCCAGGTTGCATACAGCAAACACATCGACTGAGCAGCTGGAGGCTTGTAAGCACAAGGATATTATTCTCACCTATCGTTAACTAGCCGAGGACTTCGCTGACAAACTAGGGACACCACGAAGGGTAAATAAGCATGACTACACGCGGCTGGTATACCAGTCCCTGTTCTTAGCAGCAATTCCGAAAGACACACGGTCCCTCTAACCCTATCTATTAAGAGATTTGAGGCCGTAACACCTCCAAACCCTTAAGATTCATCGCTCCACTATCACGCACTAGAATCACTCGCCAATTCAGAAGAGGCACGGAGAACAACAGTCGTGGTCCGCGGAATCATGTTCTAAAAGCAAAATGGCATGTCAGGAACCACATGACTTCAGCGAAAGTAAGGACGACCAGTGATGACACTGTGAGTCTGTGCGGATTTGGTGCATCGATCCTAGTTGACTAAAAATCTACGCACTAACGGTGAAGGACAGCGAGCACTGTTCATCATGTGCTAACGTGAAAACTGATTACTTCACCAACATGTATTAAAACGTTACACGATTCATTAACTAGTGGCAGAATCACACGTGGCTGACATCATTGTGAAACAATGCAAATGCATGTTCCCAGCACACTTTATCATTCACTGAATAACTAAGCTTGAGGATCAGACTAACCACGGGCCTAACTGACTGCTTTCCAAATTTAACTACTAAGAACAAAATCATGCAATTTCGATATTTATTCCGTTGAAGTTAATAATCACTCTTCATCACTTCCGTTCTCGTCGTCACCACCTTGGGCTTTACGCTCCTTTTTCCTTTTGACACGACCTGAAGAATTAGGAAAATACTGTAGGTGAGCTTACCAGGGCGACCACAACCATATGGAGATGTTGTACTGTATTCTATATGTTTTCCTGAGTCCAAACGTACCAGAAACCCAGGACAGTTAACCATCTGTTTCCTCACTCTTATGTGCCGTTGGCGGATGAGGACTCTGGCATGATGGATGCTTCTGGCCAAACCAAGTTTAAAAACTTGAGTTTGAAGTCTTCGTTCTAAAAAGTCTTCTATCTTCAAGCCCAAAACGAAATCCAGTTTCATCTTATCTTCGGGAAGTACACCAACTCGAACTAAGCGTCTCAGCAGAGCGGACCCTTAAAATGAAGGACAAAGTAAAACTGGTACCTCCAAAAAGCCGTCTGGGGTCTTTATCATCCAGTGTCAGCAACTCGCGGGCTGACTTACGTATCTTGGCTAAGACATATTTTACTCTCCATACTTCGCGTTTGTTGCGCAGACCATATTCACCAATGAGCTTTAACTCTTGGTCCAAACGCTCCTTTTCAAACGGTCTCCGCGGAGTCGCATAGGTCTTGCCAAAAACTTTAGGCACTCTACTCATTTCTCACAACACCAACGTGAAGGGATCTAAATCGAGAGCCCCCAAGTTCCTTGTAGACCAAGTGAAACAAATTTCAATATACAATGACTGTAGCAACATCATAGGGGCTGAATATGATTAACAGTGAACAGTCTTATTCGGCCATAAATGTACTGAGTCATCACTATCTTCTATCGCACTAAGTGTTTAATTACGATCAGAAGGCCACTTAACACTTGGAGGATTAAGTCCTGATCAGCTTCAGTCTGGAAAGGACAGGAGGCTGGGTGGCCTGTGTGAGTCCAAACAATGGTGGCCTCTTGATTGATTCATCTTCCTTCGAGTGTATGGACAGATGAAGCTTCACTCACGTGTCAAGATAACGAGTTCCACTCGTTGGTGATTCGATGGGAAAGTCGATAGTCAGCTAACGAGTGATTTGTTCCGGACTTGTGAACTTTTTTAGAGAGTCCTCGTAAATGCTCCGTTTTGGAAGACAAAAAATTATGACATGTCAGGTGTGAATTTAACAGAAAGTAACTTAAAATCTATGATGAAGTCACCTCTTGTCCTTCTGCATGACAATGGCTACAGGCTTCATTTAGACAGGCTCTCTTCATACGAGAGATTAGTGATCTCGGAAATCAACACGCTTGCGATTGTTAAAACCTTTTTCAACAGCTCACTGTTGTTTTTAGGCGAGGACTAGCTGTTTGTACACAATACTCAAGTTTAGTACGAATGAACTCTGTATAAAAAGTAAATAGGATTTCATCATCGGTATGGCTGAATACGTACTGACCATATAGTTCTAAAACCCTTGGCGGCTATCGCACTACAGTGTGAAGTAGCTTTCAAATCTTGGCCGACGAAGACTCTCATGTTGTTATATGTCTGGACGGCAGGTAGCTGAGTGTTATTCACCGTGTATGTGTCTGTACGTTGGTAATCAATATGCACCATAATGCACTTGGAAGCATTTATCTGCAGCTGCCGAGTTCTAGACCATTTGAAATTTTCCCGAGGTCCCTTTTAAACTCTAAGCTATCACTTTCACTTTTCATCGCTCTCCATATCTTGACGTCGTCAGTGTATAGCAAGATCGATGATGATAGGAGGCGAGGAAGACCGTTTGCACACGGGGAGAACAGCAATAGCCCCAAAACTGTACGCTGAGGCACTCCGCTAAGCACAGTTTCTCAGCTAGACGGCTTGCAGTCAACCAGTGCTTTATTTTGACGCCCAACTTGGATTTCCTTTATTCACATAAATAGTTTACCACCAATCCAGATATCACTTAATTTAGATAACAAGCGGTTGTGTGGGACTTTGTCAAAAGCCTTTCTGAAGTCGATGAAGGCTGAATTTGTAGGTAACATTTAAACTTCAAAGGGGCCCCAAGATTTATGGGCCATCAACAAGTTCGTAGGAAATGAGTAACCTGTTTTAACACCGTACTGCTTTGCAGAAAGAATCCGGTGTCGGTCTGGATACTGTGGTGTTGAATAGATCCTCAGAATCAATAGCTCTGTAAGTCTTCGACATTCGTACCGACCTCATCAGCTTCACTGGACACGCCCCAGATGAAGGCGCTCGATCACACATCCACAACTCATCATGAGTGGGTACTCCGTGCTACGCATCCCTTGTAACTGTTAGCCAGCTTAGAAACAACGCTTCCCGTCATATCGATAGCCTTTCAAATATATTCTCAAACCACTTCATTTCTTACTTCCGATTTGACTGGGTTGGTATACTTCACTTATAATTGTGTTATTGGTCCTAATTAGTTTTAAACAACTGAGCAATATAACGATCGTCTTCCACTAAAGATATAATAGTACAATCTACCCATAACTCTAGGACGTTGCCTCTCCTCTTATTGCTTCGGTTTACATACGAATACAAACTTTTGAGACATTCTATAAAAGCATTAGGAAGATTTACCTCATTCACTCTTATGGACTTACTGAGATTTGAGGTACAAATATTTCAGGCTTCCTGATACTGTGATTTTGTCTCGTCAGTACCCACTAACTTAAATCTCCCCTACATTATTCCCCTCTTACTGGGAAGGGTGTGAACCTCCTTATTAAATCACCATGGGGAGTTCCTGGGACTAATCGGTATAGTTCGAAGAATGTGTACTTCATAAACTTCTATGTATAAATTTCTGAGTTCTGGCCCAGTTGTCTCATCTATTAAAAATGCTGGAAGTACAGTTTCTTGTTTATTTACCTCCCAAATGTTTATTCTGGCTTGGACTGACATATCCTGGTTGACGGAGATATGCTAATAAAATACTAGAACTACCCGTTCACTCATACCCAAGGGTGACATATAATCGATCTTTCTGACGTAATCCTCATGATGGGTCAATATGAGATCTAGTAAAGGTGATTTGGAGTTGGAGTCGCACGTAGTTGCTTCATCCCTATATTGCGCTGGGACACATGAAATAGCTGCGTTAACAGGTTTTTGTTCGAAAGACTTTTCTAACAACCCGGTAATTAAATATTTACAGCATATCTTAAATTGTCTTCAGATTAAGCATCGGCGAAGTTACTGTTCAAGTTTGCCATTAGAACTGTTCTAATCATAGTCCTAATCCAAAAATTGTAGAATGTTCATGATATGACTGCCAAATTTATAAGGCCTACATGGAAGTCATAACACTGTCTACACTGGCTTTTCGTATCGTGACAATTAGCAATATAATGTCTGGGGTTTCTAAATAACACATATAGGCTGAAGATAGAATAATAAATTTAAAATGAATGAAGATAAGTTATTCAGAACGACCACGTCGTCGAGGCTGAGCCATGCCCCTTGATTAGACTGAATTCTTCCCGCCCTCCCCATTGTTGACCTCCTTTTTGCATTAATTGTTGACTATGCATTTCCACAGTTATCTCATGCTCAACGACCACTTGTTGACCAGTGTTGAAACTGTCTGACAAGACCTCATTCACCTCAAAGTTTGAACTGCTGGAGAATCAAACAATCGGTAGTTCTTGTAGTTTGCATTTCAAGTGGCAACTATACAATCTTCACGTTTCCTTTGCATAGGGTATGTTAGCGACAACGGCAAAGTTGGTAGTATTCACAATGAGTAGAGCTACTCCCCCTCATGACCGCTTCTGGGTTCTATCAGCTCTAACTAGTGAGAACTTTTCAAAATCAGGCTTCTTTCTGTCTACTATTCGCATAAAAATTTTTACCTAAACGTTTTAAAGACGCAGGTATTTTATTCGTGCGAACTTCGTGATAACATCCTTTCTACGCATCGTGCTGCATGGCATTTTCCATAAGGAATCGACTGTCTGAGAGTCGGGAATCGCTTCCTTTTCACTGTTCAGTCATTAATAGATGGTATTCAAACAATTTAGACACAGGAACACGTATAGACAAAGAACTGATAGCCAGGAAAATAGTGGATCACCAACCCTTCAATTTAAAAGCGCTACAAACAGACGAAAGATTTGCTCAATTAAGTAGGGACGCAAATTACTTTTACAAAAATATATGACTGTTACTGTTTTAATTTAAATTAATTCAACTGAAGTGAAAGCATTAGTATCTGTGCGTTAAAAGCAAACAAAACTTCAGTAACATAAGTTGGTTTCTGTATTAAGAGCTGAAACTTTTCGAGGGTAAATGTTCAACTGGTTTTTCCTGAAGGGCTGTATTTAAACTGAGTCAGAGTCTTATACAATCTTGATGTGTCTGAGATGTTAATGAGACAATTAACAGTTTGTGGATTAAAGATCGGGAATGTTAGAGTCACTCAAAGATCAAAGCTGTGGAACATTTACCTGTGAAACTTCTACGACGGCTTGTAGAAAATGACGACCGAAACTGCATGGGCTTCAGAACATCTGCGTAATACGCTTGTCAAAAGTGAGGCATCGATCACGACTTATTCTGCACCACAATGCAGTGTTTTATCCGAATTAATGAGATTCCGTGAGTGTAAGATCCAAACTACGGTTTGGACTGCTGAATAGCCTTCCAGGTTCGTTAGACACGCGCCCTTTCCCGTCGAAATCGAAACAAGTAATCGGGTAAATAGCGGTTCTATAATTCATCATAAATTCAAATGTAAATCGTTACCTAAACAAATATTACCACCCGGCTATTCAACCAATAATTGTTCAATCAATAAAATCTAAATTACAGCAAATAAAGTAGTTGATCGTTATTCTATCCTGACTGGATAGAACACACAAAAGGAGGAGCAAATCAATATGGCTACCGCCAAGAACAAGTGTCAAGTAAAACAACACAGATGCAGTTCGGTAAGAAACACAAACTTAGTGAATGCGTAAGAAAAACAAAACTATAATAAAAAAATACAAGTATTAACAATTCAAATGTAATCAAAAGACAACAATGTACAACTAAGGGGATCAATAGGAACAAAGTGCAAGTATATACATGGAGGGATTTTCACAAACACACAAAACATTCAAAATAAATCTTACAGTGAGCTCCTGAAGATTATACACAGAGGAAAACATCAACACACACATCACCTCGAATACAGTTACGAACTAGCTAGAGGTCGCTGGAGCAAAGTGGACCATCCTACATGTCTCTGGCAAGCCAGATTTCGTTGAAAGCCATGATATTCTGACATTCGTCATATAGTAGCATCTTGGATACTCTATTATCCAGTTTCAACTTGCCCATGTCATCTTACAGACAGTGGATATGAGAGGAACAATCAATAAATGGCCTGAAATATTGCGGAATCGTACGAAACAGGTATTATTTAACCACGAATCTCTTATTTGGCTATCCTTAAAAGATGGCTGTGCAGAGAAGCAGTTCCTTTCGGTCAACTCATCAGACACTACCCCGCCAAAGTGGGCACAGATAATTTTGGTTGTCTGTGGAGTAGAGGTACTACCAATGGTCGGGTAGTTGTTCAACGACAAACAGGTTTGAACTATAAAAGATGGTTTAAGGGTATGAATACATCGAACTCTCCAGTCAATCCTTTATAGGTCGACAATAACGGAGTTACCGGTTAACAGCATTGGCTGAAGTGTAACGTTTGGCGTACGTTACCTTCGTACTTTGTTTTTGGCTTATTCCA